GGGGCTAGCTGTGTCACGGGGGGCTTGTCGGGAGGATGACACTTCGTTCTCGGCTTACCTTTTGGGGTCTCTGAAGGCGCTCATCGGAGTGGCGTTACAACGGGCGCAAGCTCGTGTCATCCTGCTTCGGGCGGCGTCTTCCATGGGGGGGTTGAATGTGGACTTGGTGGATCGGGAGAGGGACGATGTCGAGGTGGAGGGCGGGCCTCTTTGGGTGGAGGCCCCCTACATGGTGGATGTGCAGATGTGACTTGGGGGGGAGGGGGGGGGGGAGGGGGGGGGGGGCGAGGGGGAATGGGGTGCGAGATGGGACGTCTGGTAGGGGATCCTGGTTGGGTTTTTTCTTTATGGAGTATTTTTATGGGGCTTTTTATGGGTGTTGCGTTTGAGTTGTTTCTGGTGTCTTTCTTTCCCTTTTCCTTCTCCCTCTTTCCCTTTTCCTCTTTCAAAAGCGTGAAGCCAGTTTCTGGGACTTAATATGAAAATGCTTTTGTATAACATTCATTGTGAATCCCATACATGTGCATCAAATTTGTTATTTTAGTTTTTTTCTTTATTGAAGATCCCCTAGTAGCGTATTTCTATTTATGGGTCGTAGCAGCACTTGGCAACACCTAGTAGCGAGAACGTCTATCCTGACGGAAGTCGTCTCAGTTTCCAGGCTCGTAACGGACGTGATGCCATGTTTTGGGCGCGAGAATCTGGAATTCTAGATTCGGTAACAGTGACATGCCGAGCCAGCCACATCGAGGTGACTGTTTACCTCGACAGGTTAAAACAGTGTTCAGCGAATGGTTTTTTGCCATGTGCACCAATGAGCAGCGGACTGCGTAGAAATCTTGCTAACTCTGCGTCAGAATCGACAAACAGCCCAAAACACTGCGCCAGAGGCGATAGATCTGCGTTCCGATCGAAAAGTTACAGTAACAATGCGCTCTCAACTCAAAACCCTTGTGTTGACGTGTGGGACATCCGGACGGGAAATTGGGTGAACCATTGTGTGTCATTCGGTTGTTCTTTGAGTGATGCGCCCCTCCATCTTTCTCGAGTTGCCGTATCTCAAGTGTTTCACGAGATTTGAGGGGTTTTCAGTTGACAACGCACGGTTTTCGAAACTGCACGCCAAATGCGCAGTTTCATCGCTTCTGGGGCAGGGTTACTGCCCGTTTTTCGTTTACAGCGCAGAGTTTGTGCGATTTCTACGCAGCTCGACGCTCATTCGTCTAAATATCCGAAAACGACAAGCCTGCAATGTAACAGAAAATTTATTTAACTCAGTCAGGTGTTTCAAAATTTTCACGCCCATATAGAGAGTGCATCAATCCTAAACATCCAGTCGCGTGGAGTTTAGGGTTGATGCTCCCTCGACGGCCCCATTAAAATATATTTATATATTTATATATATAAAAATCGTGACAAAGGGAATCAGCCCTGAACACTTTCGGCCAATGTTTAGGGTTGATGCTCCCTAAACACTTCCGCCCGGTGTTTAGGGTTGATGCTCCCTAAACACCCCGCCCGGTGTTTAGGGTTGATGCTCCCTGAACAGCATGCCATCCGAGAGGGTAATATATTTTCGTCTGCCCAAAATTCAGGTGCAAACAGTTCGATGGCCGTCAATCCAACCGGAGTTGTCGGTCCGTCAACATTTTGACCAATGAAATCTTTACTGCGTAGAAATCTCACTAACTATGCGCTGTGATCGAAAACTGGGCACTAACAGTGCGCCAGAAGCGACAATGCTGCGCTTTTTTCGTATATTTTCAGTAACAGTGCGGGATTAACTAAAAACCCAGATTTGAGAGACTATTTGTTCGGATTTGGTGAGGCTGACGCGGATGGGATCAACAGTTTCGAAACACAGTGGTGGTGCGTACCCGTTGCCCCTCAAATCATTTGCACTCGGTCGACGATGGCCAGCGCAGACTTAAACTCTCCTTGTTTCCTCCACTCCTGCCTGCCATATTGCCACGTCAGGCAGAAGCGGTTTGGCCACCAGCCTGGGGCCAAACCAAGCAAGACGAGGCTGCCTCCCCCCCCCCCCCATCACCCTATGCAAGTGCCCTCCCTTCACGCGGAAGCTGGTCCTTCCGCCACCTGATTTTTTTTTCCGCCACCAATTTTGCTGCTGGCCAGAACGTCTTGTGGTTGTGGCTGGCGGCAGGGGACATTGCATTGCAACCCTCCTACGCCCACTCCTATCTTTCGTCCTGCTCGTTACCCCAGACAGCGAGGTACTGTACACAAAACAGAACAGACGAGATCCCCCTTTGCGGGCTGTAGGTTCAAGTCTCGCTCCAGCTCCCCCGCCTGGATGCCCGATACCCAGACGGCCAGACGGCCTAGGTTTGAAACATGCCCAAAAGATGCTTTCTCAACAAAGATTCACCGAATTCTCGTTTTTGTTAAAACTTCCGAGATGTAAAAATATTTTGTGTGCGTGAAGATGCACGTCCTCAGCGACCATTTTAAAAAAATGATGGGAAAGGGGATAGAAGGGGACCACGAGGGGAGGGAGATCCAAGGGAGAGGGGGGAGAAGGAGGCGGAGGGGGAGGGGAAGGGGGAGAGGGAGGCTGGGGAGGAGATAATAAAGAGGGAGCTTCTTAGGTGGAATCATTGTACTATTTCGATCCATTTAAATAAGATGATTTTTTTAAGCTGTTTTCAATGATGAAACAAGATAAGTTTCAATGCTCAGACGTATTTTATCAAGTGGCTAAAAGAAATGGCTTATTTACTATTATCATAAAATAGATGGATTAATTTTCTCAAGTGGGTAATCAAAACATATCTATTGTTTTTACAATGTATGTTTCAAATTCACAATGTCTATTGCCAATCATCTTCATTGTACAACTTCAAAGTCACGAAGTAATTGTATACACCGTATTTGGCGTGTATCCAAAAACAAGGTAGGTCAGACAGTAGTTCAATACCGTAATAATCGTGCACAACAGGCCTTTCATAGCTTGGTCTGGAACACGAGCAAAACAGGCTAGTATATCTCAACGGAATGTAGCGCGCGAGAATACGACAAGGTGGCATCGACAAAACGAGAAAATGCCACCGTTGAGGCTCAACTGCCAAACGGGCAGTTTGTCGAATGGCATGCCGGTCCATCTGCGGTTTAGTTTTTTTCTGCCCGGGTCAGGGTGACGCTCCCGAAAGCGTCACCCCCGAGCGTCACCCCAGGCAAAACGGAGCGTCACCCCCGATTCCGTTGAGAGATACGTTCAGGTTAATGTTATAAGCGTTTAGAGTTAGATTGTAAGTCACTACTTCCCGAAATAATTTTATCAGTCGTTTTTGGCTTTCTTGCAATCTTGCCAAAAATATTGGCTCTTGTTTCCGCTCGAATCCCGAAAATCAATAGCAGAGTTACTATTTAGGTACCCGACATCTATGCTTTCAGAATTTCATAAAGACATATTCACGTACAAAAACCATGATGATAAAAAATAAAGACACAAAATATAAGCTAGGTAATTTTGTCGTGAGGCCACAAGTAAGAAAAGGCATTTTCAACAGTAATTATTGAATGATGCTACAAATTGTTTCTCAAAAAGCTTGCAATAATACCAAGTTTTAAGTTAAATCATTATAGAAGTGCATTGCTTCTTTAATTCCTTTTTACGAATAAAAATAATACAAATAAAACTAATATAAAACAATATTATAATCGCATTAACTAATATATAAACAACTAGAATATGATATAGTGGCATGACTAAATTGTTTTTTCTTACGTGTAATGTTGTACATAAAAGGAAGTCTTCTGATAACTATGAGACATGTGAAGAAATGGTCATTTTCTCTATTAATTAATGGGAGGGCTCCCCTTCCCAAGATGGTGGCAAATATTACCATGTTCCAAACACAATGGCAATGATTTTTCTTTAAGGATGCAACTCCACTATGATAATCCACAGTCGTAACTGAGAGAAATAAAAGGATAGCTGTCGAAAGTCGAAGTTACGCAAATTCCCTTAAGATTAGGACGAGCCACCCGCTGTGTTCTCTGTTGCATCCACCGTCTGTCGTGTTCAGCTGCTGCTGCTCCTGACGTTGCACAGTCCAGGCTTGAGAATCTCTTCTGCTCCGCCCTCAGATGACTGCCAGGCCATCCACAACTCAGCTGCACGTAACTCAACCAACCGTCCCATCCAGCATTCCCTTCTTTCTTGTAAGTCTGCCTCCCTGAGCAAAACCTTTTTTTCTCGTTTGTGAGGTAGCATGGGACTTTCTTCACCAGATCTAGAGACCGCGTGTCTGCTTCCGCACATGTCGGCGATGTCACTTATACTCAAAATACAAGCCGCGACGGCTTCGGCTGCAAGAGAGACGACGGTGTCTGGCTTTAGGTCTTGTGGAGTCGCTGGTGCGTCGTTTGCTCCGCTGCAGCAGCAGACGGCGCTTCAGGCTAGCATAGTATCCACCGTCCAAAAATGATTTTGTCCGCTTCATTTCCACGTTGGGACGTTGTTTTTGCAGTCGTTTTTTTTTTTTGAACGGTCCGCAGAAAAATCTCATCAATCCGTGTTATCTCATTCTTGCTGCAGTGCGCATCGTCTCAATAGCGGACTCAGTCCGATGTTCCTTCGCTCTCATCGCACGTAAAGCCATAGATTTGCAACATTTGGGCAAGAAAAAGTAGAAAAATTAGGGCGTTCGATACGGCCAGGGGGGCCTGCAATGAGTCTGCGACGCGCTTGCCGTCCACACTCGTGGGACTCTTAGGAGAGACGCGGAGCTACTTCTATTACTACTAACGAGTTTTGAGGCGCCTCAAAAGTAGAAACATTTTTTGAGACGCCTTAAAAGTCCGACGACGCTCGTAAGGTTCCTAGTAAGTACGGGAGACGCGCTACTGCTTCTTTCGAAGGAACACCCATGGATGTGCGAAGAAAAGCGGATTCCGGCCCATCATCACAATCAGTAGCGGCAGCGCCGTCGCCTGAGTCGGTGCAGCCGCGGCTGAGAGCAGTCCGTAGTGTCATGATGCAGAGCCGTCGTGATGACGCACAGGATGGTCATGATGACGCGCAGGATGGTCATTATGACGCACAGGATGGTCATCATGACGCACAGGGTTATCATGATGACGCACGTGGTCATGCTGACGGCACACAGGGTGATGATGATAGCTCACAGAACGATCATGATGGCTCGCATGGCTCACAGGATCATGACACTCATGGCGCATATCTTGGTCACGAGGAGTCGGATTACATTCACGGAGAACTGTCGCATCAGCGAGAGCACCAAGCAGACGGCGCGCATCAGGAGCGGCATCTGAAGCCGCATCAAAAGCATGGGAAGCATCAGGAGCACGGAACGCATGAAAGGCATCACCATCACGTACATCACAAGCATCAGAAACATCAGAAGCAGCACCAGAAGCATCAGAAGCTGGAAGTTCCGGAAGCTCCACCGATGCAGCAGCATGCACAGCTGCTTGCCCCTGCTCCCTCCATGACCAATGCTGCTAGTACTGCTACCACTACCACTGCTACTGACACATCATCCTTTCATGCAGCCGCCCCTCCTGAGAGAAACCCCATGCGGACAGACAAAGACACTCCAAGCGGCTCCTCTGCCCTTGTAAGCCTCCCTTCTCCCCTCCTCCCCCCGCCGGCTTCCACTCCCACGTCAGCTGTCGCGCAACAAGCAGCAGCAGCAGCCCCAGCAGCAGGAGCAGAAGCAGCGCCAGCACCGCCAACGTCAGCAGACGCGCCAGCAGCAGCAGCAGCAGCAGCAACAACAGCAGCGGCTGCAGCAGCAACAGCAGCAATAGTTGGGGGAAGCGGCAGCAGCTCCATCCCCATCCCGCACATCCCAGCGCCGTCTTTCTCCTCCTCTCTCCCGCCTTCGCTCCTCACGGACCTTGAAGGCATCCCGCCCTGCACCTGCTTCACCAACTCGGTGTCCGCGCAGTTCAACCCGCACGTGCACGCCATCCGCTACACGGGCGTGCGCAGCCGCGGCAGCAACCGTTGGATCGCGGAGATCAAGGACAACCAGCGCGGCGTGCGCAAGTGGCTGGGGACCTTCTCCTGCCCCGTGCAGGCCGCGCACGCCTTCGACGCCGCCGCCCGTGCCGTCAGAGGCCCCAACGCGCGGACGAATTTCCGTGTGGGGGAGACAGTAGGTGTGCCGGGGACCGGGGGGAGCAGGTCTAGGCGATGGAAGAAGGTAGCTGCGGATAGTAAGGCGGCTGCTCTGACCGCTGCTGCTGCTCTGGAGGCGGAGGCTCAGGCGGGCGGGTCGGAGGATGGTGGGGTGGTGGTTGGAGGGGAAGCTGCTGCGGCGTTTGCTGGTGTGAGTCCTGGCGTTGCTGGTGGTGCTTGGTCTCTGGGTGGTGCTGCTGGAGGGACTGGGTTCTCTGGTAATGCATCCCAAGGCAATGCTGCGTATGCGCCCCGTGGGAGTGCATTGCACGGCAATGCATCGCAAGGCCGTGCGTCGGAGGAGTCCCCTCGGGAGTCGCCTCGGGAGCGGTGGGCGTTTGACTTGGAGGCCGTGCCTTCTTGTGATGATGGCGACGACAATGCAGCAGCAGCAGCAGCAGCAGCAGCAGCAGCAGCAGCAGCAGCAGCAGCAGCAGCAGCAGCAGCACCAGCGGCAGCGGCTGCGGTGGTGGTGGTGAGGGAGGGGGAGGGTGGGGGAGACTGTAGAATGGACAGAGGGTGTTACATTGAGAGGGGCAGTGATGCGGTGGGCAAAGGACTTGGTACCTCTACTGCGCGGCTGGAAACCCAAGTTCCACGTGCTCGGGCTGTCAAGCAAAGAGCTGTCACATCTCCCTTCCACCCAAAGCATCGCGTATCACCTCATCCCCACCCACCATCTCTCGCCCACCCATCACCTCTCGCCCACCCATCACCTCTCGCCCACCCATCACCTCTCGCCCATCCATCACCTCTCGCCCACCCATCACCTCTCGCCCACCCATCACCTCTCGCCCATCCATCACCTCTCGCCCACCCATCACCTCTCGCCCACCCATCACCTCTCGCCCATCCATCACCTCTCGCCCACCCATCACCTCTCGCCCACCCATCACCTCTCGCCCATCCATCACCTCTCGCCCACCCATCACCTCTCGCCCATCCATCACCTCTCGCCCACCCATCACCTCTCGCCCATCCATCACCTCTCGCCCACCCATCACCTCTCGCCCATCCATCACCTCTCGCCCACCCATCACCTCTCGCCCACCCATCACCTCTCGCCCACCCATCATCTCTCGCCCATCCATCACCTCTCGCCCACCCATCACCTCTCGCCCACCCATCACCTCTCGCCCACCCATCACCGCTCCCCGACCCATCTCCTCACCAGCATCGTCTCAGCTTTGACGTGCCCTGCAAGCGAGCCCGCATGGACCCCACCACGCCTGCGCCTCCTTCTGCTGCCCTTGCTGCTGCTCCTGCTGCTCCTGCGCTTGCTGTTTCTCCTGCTGCTCTTCCTCCTTATGCTGCTGCTTCACCTGCTGTTGCTGCTCCTGCTGCCGTTGCTCCTGCGCCTGCTGCACCTGGTGCTCCTCCTGCGCCTGCTGCACCTGCTGCAGTCATACCTTGCAGTCAAGCCCGCGCTATGGACGCGTCCAGGCCTACTGCCGCGGCCACGGATGCTGCTGCTGCAGCTGCGACGTTCCGTGGCGTGCTGGCCCACCAAGTCACACTGGAGTCACCTGCGAGCTCACCCCCCACCACGTTTGAGGCGCCTCAAAGGTCGCTCCGCGGAGTGCTGTCCCATCAGGTTACCCTGGAGCCACCTGCAAGCCCCCCCCTCACCACATTCCGAGCCATCCTCGGTCAGAGGCTTGGTGCCCGCGGGTCTGCTGCTGTGGGTGTAGCAGGGGCATCTGGAGCAGCAGGGGCAGCAGGAGCAGCAGGGGCAGCAGGAGCAGCAGGGTCAGCAGGAGTAGCAGAAAGAGCAGGAGCAGCAGGGGCAGTAAGAGCAGGAGGAGCAGCAGGGGGAGCAGCAGGGGGAGCAGGAAGAGCAGGAGCAGGAGGGGCAGCAGGAGCAGCGGGCACAGCAGCGGGCAGAGCAGCGGGCAGAGCAGCGGGTTCAGCAGCGGGTTCAACAGCGGGAGCAGCAGCGGGCACAACAGCGGGTGCAGTGTGGTCCACGCACAGCCACTCCGCTCACCACTTCCCCCACCACTCCCCCCACCAATCGTTCCAACGCCATGCCATCTTACATGCACACCAGCAGGGTGCCGCCGCCGCCAGCATCCCTCACGCCCTCCACTCCCCGCTAAGCCTCAGCCTCAGCCTCCCTCACCCACACAGCAGCACTCATGCGTGGCACCAGACGCTCCCACACTCAGGGCAGCACCAGGAGGTGTCGCTTTTGAATCTTGAGTCGTCTCAAATCCCACGCTCAGAGCAGCAGCAGCAGCAGCAGCAGCAGCAGCAGCAGCAGCAGCAGCAGCAGCAGCAGCAGCAGCAGCAGCAGCAGCAGCAGCAGCAGCAGCAGCAGCAGCAGCAGCAGCAGCAGCAGCAGCAGCAGCAGCAGCAGCAGCAGCACCAGCAGGAGACGCCGCCGCATGAGGCGCAGCGGGACCAGCCCCAGGGCGCAGGAGGAGTGGGTCTCTCGGGAGCTGTGGGGGGGAGGGTGCAAGGAACTGCGCGGATACGGCTGGGGCCCCACAGTAGCAGCTCTGGCACCGTCGTGCAGGCACCCTGCAAGGGCGGTGGTGCTGGCGTGGCACAGACAGACAGCAAGAGCGGTGCCGCGCTCATGGCTCAGCCTCCCTGCGAGAGCACTGCTGGCATGGCGCAGGCACACACCAAGGGCAGCGGCAGTGGCGCCATGGCACACGCACTCAGCATGGGCACTGCTCGGCACACCCTGGCCTCGGTTCCTCCTCGCTTCCCTTTTCCCCCGCCGCCTCCTCCTGCTCGATCCTTCCCCCCACCTCCGACCCTGCCTCCTCCCCCTCCATTCCCACCCCCTCTTTCCATGCCTCCCCCTCCTCCGTTCTCCCCTCCTCTTTCCTTGCCTCCTTTTCTCCTGCCTTCTCCTCCTCATCTACCTCTTTCTAATCCCATGCCTCCTGCTCCCACCGTGCCTACTCCTTCTCCCGTGCCGCCGCCGCCCCAGCCTCCTTCTCCTGCCACGTCCTCTGTGCAGTGTGCGTCCCTCTGGGCTCCCTCACTCCCTGCCACTCGTGCCTCTCTCGCATGCCCTTCCACCTCTGCCCCGCTTTCCACACAGCAGAGCGAAGTAACAGCAACAGCACCAGCCCCAGCACTCGCACCAGCACCAGCACCACCAGCAGCACCAGCAGCAGCACCAGCCACAGCAGCAGCAACAGCAGCAGCAGCAGCAACAGCAGCACCAGCAGCAGCAGCAGCAGCACCACCGCCCGCATCAGTAACAGCAGTACCCGCAGCAGCAGCAAGGGAGGGTGGACTAGGAGAAGGGCTGCAGGCGGGAAATTTGGCGCTTGCAAGGCGTGGTATGGACCCCTACTCTGTGCTTGTAGCCAGTTGCATCATGCCCGCGCCATTTGAACGTGCAGCAGCAGAATGCACTGCAGCAGCAGCGACAGCAGCAGCAGCGACAGCAACTGTTGCAGCAGCTGCGGCAGCAACTTCTCCGCCACCAGTGACAGCAGCAGCGGCATCAGCAGTGACAAGAGGAGGGCGGGTGGCAGTGGCAGGCGAGCCTGAGGTGGCAGTGGTGGGAGCGATGGGCGCACTGGGAGCAGCAGGAGCAGCAGGGCTGCGCTCACAGCTCTCTGCATCAGCTGTGGCAGCCCCTGTTGCACAAGCAGCTACAGCAGCAGCCGCATCAGCAGTAGCAAGAGGAGGGCGGGTGGCAGTCGCAGGCGAGCCAGAGGTGTCGGTGTTGGGAGCGGTGGGCGCACTGGGCGAAGCAGGAGCAGCAGGGCTGCGCTCACAGCTTTCTGCCGCAGCCGCTGCTGCAGCTGCTGCTGCAGGGCTGCGCCCACATGAGCTCCTGCAGGTGTCGTTGGTGGGGGGAGCTGATGCGTCTGCTTTTGAGGCGCGTCAGAATCAATCCGCCGCTATAGCTGCTGCTACTGCTGCTGCTGTAGGACTGCGCTCACATGAGCTCGTGCAGGTGTCGGTAGTGGGGGAAGCTGGCAGGCCTTCTGCAGAGAATAACACGGAATGGCGCCACACCTTGGCCTCCAGTGGTCGGGTGGGCGGGGGTCCTGAGCCTGGCAGGGAAGGGAACGCGGGAACTGGGGAGCGGTTGGGTAATAGGCCTGGGGGTTTGGGTTCTTCTCCTGGGCGTGGCTCGGTGAGAGGGGAGTGTGGGCTGGAAGGAGGAGTGGCAGGTGTGGTTTCTGGAGGGATTGGGCTTGTGGGAGGGGTGGGTAGTCGGGGAGGGGGCATGGGGACGGAGGCGGTGGCTGCTGCAGCGCTGTCTGCCATACTGCAGCATGCCATGCAGGGGGCCAGGGGTGAGGGAGTTGCTGCTCGTGAGGCCTCTCTGCAAACGCATATGCAAGGTCAGCAGCAGCAGCAACAGCAACATAGCAGCAGCAGCAGCAGCAGCAGCAGCAGCAGCAGCAGCAGCAGCAGCAGCAGCAGCAGCAGCAGCAGCAGCAGCAGCAGCAGCAGCAGCAGCAGCAGCAGCAGCAGCAGCAGCGACATATGCACCAGCAGCTGCTGCAGCAGCAACGTTTGCACCAGCAGCAGCAGCAGCAGCAGCAGCAGCAGCAACAACAACAGCAACAGCAGTGGGAGCAGCAGCTTCAGGGGCGGCTGTGGAGGCAGGAGCAGCGGAGGCGGCATCAGCAGCAGCAGCAGCAGCAGCAGCAGCAGCAACAGCAGCAGCAGCAGCAGCAGCAGCAACAGCAGCAGCAGCAGCAGCAGCAGCAACAGCAACAGCAGCGGCAGCAGCAGCAGCAGCAACAACAAAGGCAAGCACACGTGACGCAGCCAAAGCAGGAACCAGAGGAGGATGAGCACGCAGAGCAGTTGCTGCAGGCCGGGCCCGGTACCAGCACACGCACTAGAGACCGCATAAACAGCGGCACACCAGGGGAAACAGGGCGGGCTCCTCATAAGCAGGCTCGTCGCGAGTCAAGGCTCGGTCAAACTGGACTCTCTCTTTCCACTCCAACGGGCTCATGCCTACTGCCACCACCCACTGCTGCTGCACTCCCTCCTGTTGCACTCTCATCTGCCGCTCTCCCCACAGCAGTTCAAGCAGCAGCAGCGGCTGAGCAGCATGGAGCAGCATCAGCAGGACTATGGGAAAAAACACCTGCTGCGCACTCTAGGGCAATGCTTGAGCTTGTGGGTGCTGTGCCTGGGTTCCTCCCCTCCCCTGCTGCCAGTCCGCAAGTCGCCCCTGACATTCATTTGTCGCTGGCGCCCAGTGCAGGTGACAGCAGCAGAGCAGCTATTAAAGGGGATGGAAGTTCTCAATGTGGAATTGTCTCCGAAACACGGAATGCTGTGGCTGGAGGGGAGACGCTAAGTGCCAGCCTGATGGTGCACGGGGCTAGGAAGAGGGGGAGGGGTGGACAATTGCTAGGAGATGGGTCTAAGGAGATGTTTCCTCCCCTGTTGCTGCCGTCGCCGTTAGGGCTGTTTGACAGTAGTGCCGATGGTGGCACATGGCAACAAAAGACTTGACTTTTGAGGCGTGACATGAAGCGCCTAGGGCAGTTTGACAATAATGTCAACAGTGGCACGTGGCAACAAAGGAAATTAAGTTGCAAAAGCCTTTGGTCGTTATGTTGATGTATATATGCATGCACATGGCATGCAAAGTCACCCGCTGGTAGCACGGTGGAGTGGGTGGATGGGCTGCTCAAGGAGGAGGGAAGGGAATTAGGCAGATTCCGCTGCGACAATTCTGTGGAATCATGAGCGGTATGATGAGTCAGCCTGGGTCAGCCCAGGGGCCATCGCATCCGAATCTGTTTTGTTACATGCCATGCCATAGTATGTCAGTGGCCTACGGTGTGGAACCTTCTCAGCAAGCTCTGAACACTAGTTGCGGCTCACGGTTTCAGCAAAAATTGGGCTGCAGAACTCAGAATTAGTGCTGGAACAGGGATTTTTTTGCACTGATTGATCGTTTGATATCATTTAGCGTTTGATATTAAAGCCTTTTTATCATGTTCTCTGTTTTTCCAGCCATTTTTTGTGGGTATACGTTGATCAATTTGAGCACTCAGAAAGAGACCCAGTGCAGAATTTGAAAAATGAGTTTCCCCCTCCCTCCCCCCACACCCCTTCCATCCCCTCCCTCCCCCCCCCCACCACCCCCACCCCCTCCCTCCCCCCCCCCTCCCCTGTTCCCCCGCGTCCTTAGTTTCCCACCCAGCTCCCCCCTTTCTCTCGTCCGTCCCCCCAACCCACCTCTCCTCTCGGTTCCCCTTCAGCCCACCGTGTTTCTTCCCCGCCCCAACACAGCTCCTCCTCTCGAGCCTCCCACCCAGCCCACCTGGTTCTCTCCCCCCCCACCCTGAATTGACCTGCTTCTCTTGCCCCTTCACCCAGCCCACCTACTTCTCTCGCCCCTCCCCCCAACTCACCTGCTTCTCTCCTTCCCCCCCTCCTCCTCTCCCAGCCTACCTACTTTTCTCGCCCCTATCCCCACAAATTCCTTCTCTTGCCTATATTTCTTTATCTCGACCCTGTTTCCAAACCCGCCTTTTGCTCTCGTTGCCTCGCTAGCACCTAAACCTCCTCACCCAATCACGACATGGCACCAGAGCAATATTATCCTAGGGACCTCCTTTTCTTTTCCATATAGCCATAGTGGCTTTCCCTCTCGGTAACCTCCTGCCGTGAACGTGCATTGAGCGCGATTGTCCTGCCTGTCACCAGCACGCCAGCCACGCTTCTGCCGTGCATATCTCGACGCCCTCGTGTCACCTCCACCCCCCCATCACAACCCCCCCTTTAGCGGTATGTTTCAGAATCCTATTCACTATATCACTAGGATAAATATGGCTTGTTAAGTAATAGTTAGGTGCACCAATAGCCCCCTAGACTATCAAGCTTGTAACCCTTCCCTAGGATCAATTGGGCATCCCAAGTACTGGACTTCTCCCCCCCCCCCACCCCCCCCTCTCCTTGAAGAAAACAGCAAAGCGGCAACGCCAGCATGTGGATGTCAGAATCTCAGCCACTAACCACTTGGACAAAATGGCTTGTTTGTGTAGCGAGTGAGTGCGCCCATAACCCCCCAGGCCGACGTGCTTGTAACCCTTCCCTAGGATCAATCGGGGATCTCTTGTGGACCTATAACACCCCCTGCACAGGGATGCCCGAAGTGCACACACCGGGATTCGAACCCGAGACCTTCGCTCTGATACCATGTCAGAATCTCAGCCACTAACCACTGGGATAAAAAGGTTTGTTTGTGTAGCGGGTGAGTGCGCCCATAACCCCTCAGTCCGACGTGCCTGTAACCGTTCTCTAGGATCAATCGGGGATCTCAAGTGGACCTCTGACAATGGACACATAGAGATTTGGGCCAAACCTTCATTCTGATACTATGTCAGAATCCTACTACACCACTAGGATAAGGTGGCTTGTTGAGTAGCAGTTTAGTGCGCCCATAACCCGCAAGACTAGCGAGCCTGTAACCCTTCATTAAGATCAATTGGGCATCCCCCGTGCTGATCTTCGGACAGTATACCTCTTCTGGGGGTATTCTTTCACTGGTTCGTATTCCAAACACTTTGGGAGGTATGTTGTATTGTCCAATGTATAAACAAAACTCGCGTCGCGCGTCGCTCCCTCCTCAATGCCACGTTATCACACCCAACCCGCCCCACATGCCACGTCACACCCCCCTACCTGCCACCGCCACGTCACACCAACCCGTCTCTCCACCACGTCACGCGTCGCTCCAACCAACCCTCCTCGTTGCCACGTCATCACACCCAACCCGTAGCATTGTCTACTATAGCTACAGTGTCCTACTATAGGTGGTGCACCTCAAGTGCCTTCTGTTGCATGTATGTTTTTTCTCCCCACCCTAATCTGAACCCATTCTTGATCCTTGTTACCTTGCTAGCTCCTAAACCTCCTAACCTAAGCCCCACGAACTTCTCTTGCTCCTCCATCCAGCACCTACTTTTGTCGCCCCCCACCTGCTTCTCTCGCCCCTTTGTCCTGCCCAGTTTCTTCTTTCCTTCCCCACCAACCCACCTTCTTCCCCCCCCCCCCCCCCCCCCCCCCCCCCCCCACCCTCCCTCCCTTCCCCTCCCGCCGACCCACCTGTATCTATCGTCCCTCTTGCCAATCCCCCCTACACACCTGCTTCTATCACCCCTCCCCTAAGCTCACATGCTGTTCTCCTTACCCCCCCCCCCCCCACCTCCCTTCCAGCTTACCTTCTTATTGATTTTAAACTGTTAACCTGTTTCGTGGTGTACCTTCTTATTCCTTCCTACCTATTTGTATAACTTACTGTATACTGCAGCTCCTCTTTTGCCAACCCTTCCTCGTTAACTCCCTCAATACTCGTGCTCCCACCAAAACCTAGCTCCTATCACGCGATATTTTAACGCTTCTTCTCTCGCCCCTCCTTTCAGCCCACCAACTTCTCTTGCCCCTTCCCCCATCCCACCTGTTATTTTCGCACCCACTTGCTTCATTTCCCCTATATCACATGCCTCTCATGTCATTTCCTCATGTTTAGATTCTGTTGTCCATTTCAGCTTTAAAACAAAGCAGGAAGGTATAACGGCCAGTGATGTGCAACAAAAGGTGTAGCTCGCGATGCCAGAGAGTTATTTGTAAGCTCTTTGGCTTGGACTATGGGTCAAGAACAACAAGGGTGCACTAGGCTCGATGGTAGGATATGGGGCTTAATGCATGGCCTTTATGGTAGATGCTAGCGTGAATAGTTTTCCGTAGATTTCAATATTGCGTACCAGATTTGCAATACAATAAAATTTTGCACATTCTTCAACCAAAGCGTTTGCACAATACACATGGGGAACTTCTTTTTGTTGCAATTCGAGTACTACAGCAGAAAAAGTATAGCAAGTGGGGTGAAAACATTATTACTGAGTGAAATATCTATTCTTTATTTATCAAAAATGTTATTCTCCATACGGCGCGCGAACAGATGTCAGTGTCAGCGAAAATTGGAAGCGACGTGCGGGAAACTGCTGCTGCTTTCCCTTCGTGCAAGGAGGAACCACAGTTGCCTCCATTTGTTCTAGGGAAAATATGTCAATGGTAACTTACATGGGGCACTAAAACGCGTACGGTAACGATTTCAACGCGTTTGGTAACTCGCTTAACGCGTTTGGTAACCTGCTTAACACGTTTGGTAACTCGTTTAACACATTTGGTAACTCTACACTAGCAGCCCATCACGCGAATGGTAACTACATGAAATTCCCACCGAAATTGAGCCTGATTCTGGTTTTTCCCGCTCGCGTCAGAATAAATTGACAAATCCTGAAGCAGAAAATTCTGACACACTCTCCGAAATTCTGACACAAAGTTCCGAAATTCTGACACACTTTCCGAAATCCTGACACACTTTCCGATTTTCAGGCAAATTACAAAAACGTAAGTTTTGTGAAAACAGCTTTTCTTACATAAATGTTTCTGGCGCACTTTCCGCAAACTGTTTGTACTTTATTCTATCGTGCAGCCGGGGCAAACAAATCTATATCCCTTTCAGATGGCAAATAAATTTGAGAGCAACAACCTTAAACTTCTTGCGACCAGGCGTTTATGGATCTTTATTTAAAATAAAATGAAAGATGTAATTTTAAAAAGGCTGTTTTTTTTACATGAAAAAATCTTCCAACGTTGCAGTATTAAAAAAAAAGTAAACTTCCCAAAGTTCTTTCGGAATAGTTTTTTTTATCGTTTTGCAAGTTCGCAATCATGCTATCAAAATATGATGTTATCCATTTTTGTACGAGCTACATAATTATATATAAATTCTGAACTTTTCGGTCCGTGGTAATAGAACAAACGGGGTCCTTAATTTTCGTGGCGGGACGCGTTCAAGAAAGATAATGATGTGCGTAAAAGCTCTCAAACTCGATAAATTCCTTATTTTCAGGAAGATTTCGGCGGGAATTTCATGTAGTTACCATTCGCGTGATGGGCTGCTAGTGTAGAGTTACCAAATGTGTTAAGCGAGTTACCAAACGTGTTAAGCAAGTTACCAAACGCGTTAAGCGAGTTACCAAACGCGTTGAAATCGTTACCGTACGCGTTATAGTGCCCCATATAAGTTACCATTGACATATTTTCCCTTTGTTCTACTCCAGCCAAACAAACGCCTGCAATTTAGTGTGTTGCAATAACTACGGCACCTAGAGGATGCCGACGCTGGAGCACTGTCGTAAGCAAACCCTAGTAGGCCAATCCCCGCTTAAAATTATCGTAGCTTCAAGAAACAGCAGAAAGCGATGCTCAACATACCTTAGCAGCAGTAAGGCTTGCCTAAAGCTTACAGCATGAGCTGACCTCTAGGACGAGTTTATTAACTTTGTACTAGGCATTAATAACGATTATAAAAAAGCGTACAGCATGAGATGACCTTTAAGTTGAGTAAATTAACCTCGTATTAGTCATTATTACGGCCTAACCAAGGGCATACAGCATGAGGTGACCTCTAAGTCGAGTAAATTAACCTTGTGTTAGCCATCATCAAGGCTACCTGTGCTATCCACGCCTGAGCACCTCCAGTACCGTCCATAACGCTTACAGAATGCCGACTTTAAGATGCCGATGCTGCAGCGCAGTCCTAACCAAGCCGTCCCCCGCGCTGCTATGCCGGCCGTGCAAGGTGGTGGGGTCGGGGGGAACCGTGCGCGTGCGACCGGGCGTCTGGCGGCTGGCGCGTTGGCGGGTCAACGAATGGGTGCAGATGGGTCGGATACGGCACGTGCAGGAGCTGGTGGAGGAGATTCGCACGCGCGGACTGCTGCTCATCGTCGCCGCGATCGTTCTCGCGTATGCCATGTCGCGTAAGAACACTATCGCGAATGCGCTGTCGCGTAAGAATATCATAACGACATATTGAGCATTGTTATGATTTTGTACAACCCGATGGTTGTCATCTCTGGTCGTCGGAGTCCGGAACTGCTGGCGTTTGTCCCAGACGGGTCGTTATCCCAGGCGGTCGTTATCCCAGGCGGTAATCTCAAGGGGTCTCAGGGAGTCCCAGGTGGTCCCAGGTGGTCCTATGTGGTCCCACGTGGTCCCATGTGGTCTCAGGTAGTCCCAGGTTGTCCCAAGTGGTCCCAGGTGGTCCCGTGTGGTCCCATGTGGTCCCAGGTGGTCCCATGTGGTCCCAGGTGGTCCCATGTGGTTTCATGTGGTCCCATGTGGTCCCATGTGGTCCCAGCTGTTGGTCATCACAATGATTGTTCTCGCCTGTGTCACCTCCTCCCTTTTCTTCCCCTCTCTCCTCCTCCACCTAAGCCCTCCCCGTTCCTTTACCTGTGACGCGGTGCTAGTGGCGAGCCCGTTGGTGCTGCTCAATCTGTCAGTAGCCCTCGGGTCGGGACCCTTGAGTCGACTGAAACTCCCCCTTCCCTTTCCCCCACACCATCCCTCGCACTGTCACCTCCCCTGTAACCTGACGCCAATAACAAGCCCCTCGGTGCTCTTCAACCTGCCGATGGCCCTCGGGATCCTTGAGTCGACTCAAACATCACCCCCCCCCACCCCTCCCTCTCTCCCCATCCCCCTCCCTCTCCTCCCTCTTACTGTCACCTCAGCTGTAACCTGACGCCAGTAACGAGTCCCTCGGTGCTCTTCAACCTGCCGGTGGCCCTCGGGGTCCGTGAGTCCAGTCAAACATCACCCCCTCCCCCACCCTCAACCCCTCTCTCCCCTTCCCCCTCCCTCTCCTCCCTCTTATCACAACATTACCTGTAACCTGACTCCAGTGACAAGCCCCTCGGTGCTCCTCAACCTACCGGTGGCCCTCGGGATCCTCGCCGTCGCTCGCTGGCTCATGCTCGAGCTGCAGGCGCGGGCCAATGCCAGCCTGCCACGTGTGCACTACGAGCAGGTGCACGCGCCCTTCCAGCCTATCACGACCGCCGACGCCCTCCCGCGGCCGTCAGATGCGGCCGGGCTGGCGCTGGTGGGATCACCGCTGGTGGAAGCGTCTCTTGACGAGTTCGTGCGCTCCATTATCAAGTGAGTGTGAATGTGTTGACTTGTGAGTCGACTCAACAGGCAGCCGGGCAGGCGCTGGTGGGATCGCCGTTGGTGGAAGCGTCTCTTGATGAGTTTGTGCGCTCCATTATCAAGTGAGTGTGAGGTGAGGTGGGATGGAGTGAAGTGAGGTGGGATGGAGTGAAGTGAGGTGAGGCGGGATGAGGTGAGGTGAGGCGAAAGTGAGGTGGGGATGGCGAGTGTTAAGGTGTTTGAAAGTCATGAGAAGGTTAGGTGAGACTGGCCAAGGTGGCGCTGTTGGGATCGCCGCTGGTCGAAGCGTCTCTCGACGAGTTTGTGCGCTCCATTGTCAAGTGAGTGTAAGTGAGGTGATGAGTGTGAGAGTGAGACGCTAGGAGGAGGTCTATCATGGCAGGCGAGTTTTAAGTGTTGAGCGCCTCAAGTATCGCTCAACCCCTCCCTCTCCTCCCAAACCCCACTTTCCCCACTTCCCCCCCCCCCCCCCCCCCCTCCCCCGCCCCCGTTCCCCCGTTCCCCCACCCCAGGGACTTTGTGACGAACCAGTTCTATGCGTACCTGACGCCAGATAGGGAGATGCCAGAGGAGCTGCGCTGTGTGCTGCTGGCCGTGCTGGGAGAGGTGGCTCGCCGGGCCAAGCGGGTCAACCTCGTTGCGCTGCTCACCAGGTGCTGCCTCTGCTGTGTGCTCTGCTTCCTGCGTGCTTGTGAGCGTGCGTGCTTGTGAGCGTGCGTGCTTGTGAGCGTGAGTGCTTGTGAGCGTGCGTGCTTGTGAGCGTGCGTGCTTGTAAGCACACATATTTCTGCTGCTGGAGGTGCATCCATCATTGTGGTACCGCTCTACCTCTCCTTGCACCCCTCTCTTTCCGTTCCCTGCTCTCGGGTTCCTGTCCCCTCCCCCAGGGACGTGGTGGGGGCAGTGGTGGGGGCAATGGAGCAGTATCAGCGTGCGTGTGCGGACATGGGGGAGGGCGAGGGCGACTGGAGGCGGGTGGCGGCAGGGGAGAGGGAGGAGCGCCTCAAGCACACCCTGGGCGCGTCTGGCGACCTGCACCCTGCGTGCCTCTCTGTGGAGTGCGAGTACAAGGTGGGGGGGGGGGGGGGGATGCTGGCTTGTGGTTGGGGCTGCAGCAGTTGTGCTGTTTGAAGGGGCGAGGTGCCGTTCTTGGTGGGGCTGTCTCATTTCAGGTCTGCTATATCACCTGCACTGCACTGCACTGCACTGCACCGCACTGCACCCTGCTGCATGCCTCTCTGTGGTGGAGTGCTGATGCAAGCTGGGGCTGGTGCTGCCTGCCTGCTTGTTCTTGGGTGGTTTGTCATTTGTGCTGGGAACCTGAAATCTGCATATCCCCCCCTAAATTGCGAAATGGTGGCCCTCCATTCTCACCTGTGGCCTTGTGTGGGGACTGCGTGTGTGTGTGGTGTGAGTGTGTGTGTATGTGTTTTTGTTTGTGGATGTGTGTGTGTGTGAGTGTGTGTATGTGTTCGTGTGTGTGTGTGTGTGTGTGTGTGTGTGTGCACGTGTGTGTGCACGTGTGTGTGCATGCGTGTGTGCATGCGTGTGTGCATGTGTGTGCGTGCATGTGTGTGTGCGTGCATGTCCGTGTACATGCAAGCATCAGGTGGTGAGGAAGCTAGTGGCAGCACTGTTGACGCTGGTACTGCCAGCCAGCGACGCGCAGTGCAAGGTGGTGCGCTGCATGGCTCGCGAGCTCCTCTCCTGCTGCGTGCTGCTGCCCTCGCTCAAGCAGGCCAACCCCAGGTAATGCCGTCCTTCAAATAGGCCAACCCCAGGTAATGCCGTCCTTCAAATAGGCCAACCCCAGGTAATGCCGTCCTTCAAATAGGCCAACCCCCCAGTACGCACCCCAGCAGGCCATTCCCCCAGTCATTCCGTGCTTCAAGTTTTCCCATGTCATCAGCACCATGCTCTGCCTCTCTTGTTCTGCCACGTCTGTAGTCGCCTATTGTGTGCTCAAACATTCGCACGTGCTCCCTCCGTCCTCGCTTTCCTCTCCCTACACTGTTGCTTTCAATCTCGCTTCTCTCTCCCTCCCACCCCGTTCACCCTCATTCTCGTCTCTCGGTCTCTGCGTCCACCACAGAGTGATCAACGATGCCATACTCTCCTTCCTCGACAAGCACCCCTCCTCTTCCACCTCACAACCGCCCTCCGCGCCTTCAGCCCCTGCCACCGCTACCCCACCACCAGCCTCAGCAACTGCAGCCACAGCTGCAGCAGCAGCAGCAGCAGCAGCAGTGGCAACAGCAGCAGGTGCTGCAGCGGCGGGGATGGCAGCAGGTGGTGGAGTGTCCGCCGGGGCAGGATCAGGTCTGGGTGGCAGAGCTGTAGGTTCGGCAGCATCGGCGCCGGTCCTGGCTGCTACGGTGTCTCCCCTGAGTGCCGCTGCCGCTTCTCTTCGACAACAGCGGCAGCAACGACAAGAGCAGTGGCAACAACAACAACAGCAGCAGCAGCAGCATGGGGCATCACAGCACGACTTTTCGCCCCAGCACGGATCGTTGCAAGGAATGGGATCTCGAATGGGGGGGTCTCTGAGGAGGCGCATGCCTCGCAACCGCAGCAGGCGCATGCGGGCCACAGGGTCGCCCAGTGGAGGCGCATTTGGGGGAGGCGTATCTGGTGCAGGCGGGACGTACGGGGGAGGTGCATCTGGTGCATCTGGTGGCAGGGGCAGCAGCAGCAGCATGCGGCGGCGAGCTGTGCTGGGGTTGGGGGGAGACAGTGCAGGGGACGATGACAGCCTAGCAGGGGGCACGAGTGATGGAGGCGTGGTGGGCATGGGCTTCAGCACAGACGAGGAAAACGGCTCCCCTCATGCTGATAGCTCATTTCATGCTGGCCGAGGCGGCGGCGGCGGTGGTGGTGGTGCTTCTGCTGCTGCTGCTGCTGCGGGGGCTGGTGGCGATCGGGGTGGAGGAGATATTGAGAAGCGCAGGCCTAATGGAAGGTCAGGGGCAGCAGATTCGTCGCTGATTGCGCCTCTCAAGGCCATGCCTCCCCAGGATAAGCCTCCCCTGGGTCGTTCCCCTGCGCTGCTGCAGCCAATGAGTGCCTCTTCCTCAATGGCATCCTTGGCCCCTCAGCTCATCGCCGCTACTCCCCTCCCTCTGCACCCCTCTGGCCCCTCCGGTGGCTTTAATGGCTCTCCTGGGCTTGAAGGGTCGAGTGGGTCTACTGCTGGTGGTGGTGGTTTGGGGAGCCAAGGCACGCTGAGCAGCAGCGGTGAGAAGCACGGGGGTGGGGGGTTTTCGTTGCACTCCCACCAGCTTTCAAACGCCTCTGGCTGTTCCCAGCCCGCTGCACCTGCTGCAGCAAGCACCGCATGTCTTCACATGCCGCCTCCTCCTCCCCCTGCTCCCGATGCATCTGGCCCGTTGGTTCATCCCAATCAAAGGGCTGCTGTAGCTGCGCATGAAGGGGCTGATGGGATGGCGCAGCGGCGCGGGAGAAAGGCAGGGAGAGGCAGGGAGGAGGACGGGAAGGTGGTTGGCAGGGTGAAGAGCGAGCCTTGTGAAGGGAGTGAATGGGGCGAAGGTGGCAGGAGTAAGGGCGAGGAGGTTGCAATGCGGTTACCGGGTGACGACGCGGACTTTGCGCAGGCGTTACAGCGGTACGAGCAGCGGCAGCTGCAGGTGCTGGATAGCGAGCAGATTGATAAGCTCTGGTATACCGATGGGGTGCACTCTCACTGGCACACCCACACCCACACCCACACCCACAGCCACAGCCAGACCCACAGCGCAGAAGGAGGCGGCGGTACCAAGGGCTTCGGACAGAGTATGAGCTCCCAGGAGGTCTACTGTGGCAAGTCAACGAGGGGCAGCAAGAGAGAGCGGGAGAGGTCCGTGAAAGGGCAGGAAGTGTTGAGGGGTGGAGAGAAGGGGGTGAATGGGCAGGATGCGGTTGTGAGGGGTCAGGATGTGGTTCAGGGTAGGCAGGAACCGGCATGTGACGGGAGGAGGGACGCTGCTATTTGTAACACTGGTGCTGGCGCTGGCGCTGGTGCTGGCGCTGGAGCTGATGCTGGTGCTGGCGCTGGTGCTGGCGCTGGTGCTGGCAGCGGTCTTCTTGCGGGTTATGGTGGTGCAGCTGATGGTGGTGGTGGAAGGGAGCGGAGGAGGAAGGAGAATGCGCGGGGGATGCTGTGGGAGTCTCTGTGCTCGGATGAAGAGCTGGGAGGGTTCAAGCGGGCTGCTGGTGCAGGTGGTGGTAACCGCAATGGCGGTGGACAGAGTGGGAGGTGGAGCGAGGAGCTGGAGATCGGGGTGGCGGTGCGCGGGCTAGGGTTTCTGGTGGAGCAGTCGCCCGGCTCCATGCACATGATGCACAGAAAGGGCACCGGGGAGGTGGGAGAGGACGGTGGAGGAGCAGGAGAGCGAGGAGGAGGAGAGCGAGGAGGAGGAGTGGGAGGAGGAGGAGTGGGAGGAGGAGGAGGTGGTGGGCAGCAGCAGGTGGCGCAGGTGGCGCAGGTGGCGCAGGTGGCGCAGGTGGCGCAGGTGGCTGGGTCAGGCGCGCAGCAGTCACAGGCACAAGGCGGCTGGGCTGGTGTGTGGTCCACAGGCGCGTTCTGGTCTTCCTCATCTGCAGCAGGAGCAGCAGCAGCAGCAGGTGACGCAGATGGCACAGATGGTGTAGGTACAGTGGGCAAACCACTGGTGGCTGCTGCAGCTGCAGGGACTACTGCAGCGGGTGCAGTTGCAAAAGGAGCAGCGGGAGTGGTTGGTGAGAGAAACAAAGCCCACGGTGAGACGAGACCCAGTGCACGGTCAGCAGCAGCAGGAGCGGGAGCAGCAGGAGCATCAGCAGCAGGGTCATGGCTGAGCTTCATAGGCGCAGGGCCCAGGTCAGACCCGGGAGGCAGAGCAGCAGGAGCAAGCAGGGACACGGCTGGAGCTGCAAACACAGCGGCTGTGGCTGGGGGAATGGGCTCTGGGGGGGGGATTCGTGCAGGGGTGGGGCATGGGCGGGTGAGTTCTGTCTCAGGGGCAGGGGGCCGTGCAGGGTCTGCCTCACAGGGGGATGGGGGCGGGGATGATGCGCGGTCGGTGCTATCTGCTGCTGCTGCCACTGCTGGGTGGGTGGAGCGGAATCTAGCAGCTTTTGGGCTGGCTGGCGCGTTTGGGATGCGAGGTGGGGGTGGTGGGGGTGCGGGTGAGAAGGGGAAGGGAGGGGCGAGTGGTGGAGAGGTGGGTGGAGTGGGTGGGGGTGGGAGTGGAGATGATAGGGTGTTGCTGGCGGAAGCAGCAGAGAGGGATCCATTAAGTGTGGTTCGGCAGTGGGAGGAGGAAGAGGAGGTGGAGGGGGTGAGAGAGAGGCGTGAGTGGGAAAAGCAGGGTGAGCGGCAGCAGGAGCATAATCAGCCGGGGCAGAGGTGGGGACAGCAGGAGCAGCAAGGGGTGGTGCAGGGATGGCGTTCTAGAGACGAGCCTGGGGAAGAGAAGTACGCGGGAGGAACCTTCTTAGACTTGGAAGGCCTGGGAATGGAAGAGGAGGAGGAGGAAGAGGAGGAAGGGAGAGGCTTGTTGCTGAGCGCGCGAGTGAAGAAGGGGCGCGGTGCAATTCGTTCATGGGATGGCCCTGGTAGGAGCAGGGGTACTGGCGATGCTGTGGCGGGAGGGATGGGGGGAGTGGGGTTAGTGGGGGGTGGGGAGGAGGGGAGAGGGCAAGGGCTGCGGCCGGCGTGGCTGCTGGAGAGTGAGTGGCTGCAGCAGCAGCAGCAGCGGAGGGAGGAGGAGCAGGCTCAGCTGGAGATGCAGCAGTACCTGGGCTTGGGCATGGGGCAGAGGGGTGATGGCAGGGGACAGGGGGGTGGGAGCAGGGGCGGGGAGCAGAGCAAGGAGATGCGCGCGTTTGGAGAGGGCACACATATGCACGCTCAGGTGGGGCACACATATGCACGCTCAGGTGGGCGACTTTTTAAGGAACTTGCTGGTTTGAGTGAGTGTGGTGTGGCAACGTGGAGGGGTTGTGTGCAGCTCGGGTGGATCTGTGTCACCTGCTGCGTGCAGGCACCGTTTTGCATGCTTGCTGCTTGTGTGTGTGTGTGTGGGTGGCCGGGTGCCTGGGTGGGTGGATGGGTGGCTGGGTGGCTAAGTAGGAGGGTGGGAGGAGTGCGCATGGGTGTGTGTGACCCTGGGTGTGTGTGCTGACGTGCTTGTAGGCGGGCAGGCAGGAGTTCGGTCACTCACGCGAATGAATGCATCGGTACTTATCTCCATGTGTCCATGCATCCAATCATCCATCCATCCATACGTATATACATTCTTGCCTCCATGCATGCATCTATGCATGAGCAGATCGTGGGCGCATTCTCAGCGGAGTCAAGGGGCGAGGCCATAGTGGGCTACTCCATTGCTGTCACGGGCCTCGATGGCTCTGCATGGATCGTTCGACGCAGGTAAGCTTCTGAGGTTATTCCTGCTTGGATCGTCCGACGCGGGTAACCCCCATGTGCCCATGGTGCCCATGTGCCATGGTGCCATGGTGCCATGGTGCCCATGTGCCATGGTGCCATGGTGCCCATGTGCCATGGTGCCCTTGTGCCATGGTGCCATGGTGCCCATGTGCCATGGTGCCCTTGTGCCATGGTGCCCTTGTGCCATGGTGCCCATGTGCCATGGTGCCATGGTGCCCATGTGCCATGGTGCCATGGTGCCCATGTGCCATGGTGCCCTTGTGCCATGGTGCCATGGTGCCCATGTGCCATGGTGCCCTTGTGCCATGGTGCCCTTGTGCCATGGTGCCATGGTGCCCATGTGCCATGGTGCCATGGTGCCCATGTGCCATGGTGCCCTTGTGCCATGGTGCCATGGTGCCCATGTGCCATGGTGCCCTTGTGCCATGGTGCCCTTGTGCCATGGTGCCATGGTGCCCTTGTGCCATGGTGCCATGGTGCCCATGTGCCATGGTGCCCATGTGCCATGGTGCCATGGTGCCCTTGTGCTCGTTTCCTTGTCCCCTTCTCCCTTCCTTCTTCCACCATCTTTGACATTTCTTCCACCCCGCCTCCGCTCCCCAATCTTCGCCTTCTCTCCACTTCCCCTCCTGTTCCGCTTCCTCCCCATTCTCCCCGCCAGGTATCGCAACTTCTGGCAGTTGCACCAGCAGCTGAAGCGGCACAGCCCATCAGCAAGCAGCCTGCAGCTGCCAGGAACATACCGTCTCATCCATCCAACCCTCTTCCTCTATCCCCCTCCCCCTCCCCCTCCCCTCAAACCCCACCACCCACCCCTTACCCCTCCAGGTACCGCAACTTCTGGCAGCTACACCAGCAGCTGAAGCGGCGCAGCCCATCAGCCAGCAGCCTGCAGCTGCCACCCAAGCACTTCTTCCATGGCGGGCGGGACGAGGAGCTCATTCGGGACAGACTGCTGCAGCTGCACGCTTATGTCAAGGTGGGCTGCTCACATATGCCAAGGTAGGCGTGCGGGTGCGCGAAGTTTCTCTAGGGCATTATGACCTAAATAAGTTTATCTGGGGCATATTTTCCCATGCAGAAAGAATGAGTAATACTTTTGTTTTCCCCCTTTTTCCTCCTGCTCTGCCGTCCACCTTTCCAGGACATCAAAGTTATCCCTTCCACCTTCCCCCCCTCCCCCTCCCTTCTTGCACCTCCTCTACCCACTCACCAACCCACCCGCCCACCTGTCCGTCCGCCCTGGCAGGGCATAATGGCTCGAGAGGAGCTGGCCACATCGCCAGAGGTTATCGACTTCCTCTCCCCTGACTCCAAGGTGGGGTGCGGTGGGATGCGGTTGGGTGTGATGGGGTGTGGTGGGGTGGGGTGGGGTGTGGTGGGGTGCGATGTTTTGTGGTGGTCTGGTGTGGGTGTGATGGTGGTGTGGTGAGGTGTGTGGCGTGGTGGTGGTGGTGTTGGAGTGGTGGTATGGTGTGCTGTACTGCTGTGGCACCGTACCTCCTTACTGCTATGCCGCTCGCTCCCACCACAATTGCTTTCCCTTCTTTCTACACCTGTCTCTTCCTCCAAAGTCCCTCAACCCTCTCTCAACTATGTTGGATTATACGCTCGAGGCCCTTCGCGTTTAGCGTATATACGCTAGCGTATACACGCAATACGCTAAACGCTAGCGAATACGCAATACGCTGCCATAAAATTTTCCGGGCAGCCCGGAAAAATAAAATCGCAGAAAAGATGCGGATTTTCTTGGTGAGCATTTCGCCGAAGTCGAAATGCAAATCCGCGGCCTAGGCAAGCTGGGATCTGACTTTGAAGTTTTCAGGCACATCTAGCTATTCAAATGTCGAATTTCAGATCCCATCTAGGCATTTGAACCCATCCCCTCTACCGCATTGAAAACCATCTTATCTACGAAATCCAACCTATCAAAATCGAACCCCCAACAAATCTCACGCTACTAACCAGCCAACCCAACTCCTAACCCGTCATTTCCTACCTTGCATTCCCGCTTCCAGCAGTGTCACCGCGCACTCCAACTTGAAAAGCCTCTCCAACACTACTTTCTCTAGCTATGATGACTACTCCCCGCCCCACCCCACTCGCCGATCGGACTCAGGAAAATGCTACGGCACGTCCTAGTGAGATGAGATAGGGGGTATTTTTTTCCACCCTGCCCGAATTTTTTTTTCCCTGCCCGAAAAAGCGTATGCCTGATCCGACCCTCAAGCGTATTGCGTATACACGCCAGCGTATATACGATACGCATATATACGCTAAACGCGTATAATCCATCATAGTCTCTCAATCCCCATCCCCGCTCCCATCTTTCCCCCCCATCTCTCCCCCAACCCCTCCCCCCCATCTCTCCCCCAACCTTTCCCCCCCATCTCCCTCGCCCATCTCTCTCCAATGATCTCTCCCTCCAAATCCCCCTGTCCGCGTCTTCAACCTCCTCTTGTCGTCCCTCGCTCTCCCCTCTAATTATCTCCAACCCCCCTTGAATGGTCCCCTCTTTCCCCCAAACTCGTCTCCAACCCAACCCAACCCCCCCGTTGTGCGCCCTCAGGCATTTGAATCGCACATCACCGTGTCAAAGGCCATCTCCTTTGCCTGTGAGCATTCCTTCCCCCCTGCTGCTTTAGCTGATCTCTTTTGCTCACAACGTACGTTGTTAAACAAGTTTTAACAACACTACTTTTCTAGTCACTCTTTAACACTCACCTGTACCTCTGCAGCGCAGCCTAGCCCACTACTCCACCCTCCCTTTCTTTCCATCCCATCGCCCCTCTGCTTTTCTCCCCTCCCTCCCCTCAACCCTCTCCTCTCTCCCTCCAACCCCTCTCCTCGCCCTTTCCCCCACCTTGCTCTCCTCACGGATGTCCCCCATTCCCTCTTGTAGTGAGTGTGGCCGAGGTAACAGATGACCTGCAGTGACAGCACATGCAAAGAACAGTTTCGAAACTTTTCTTCCCTTTCTCTTACCACGCCTTCTCTTTGCTGATTTTTTATATTTTTCTTCTCTTCTCTTCTTTTTCCATTGTCACATTCTTCTCACTTGCTCTCCTGATGCATTGATTCCCCCCCTTCCTTATTGCAGTGAGTGTGGATGAAGTGACAGACGATGTGCAGTGGCAGCGCGTTAAGAGCACGTCTCAACTGCAGCTGCTCTCCACCATTGCTACTAACGGGGATGACACCAGCTCTGTTGCCACGTCCCCTCGCTACCATCACCGCTCTGCCCGACCAACCAGCAGCCGCCACGTGGCGGGGGTGGGTGAGGAGGAGGCAGCTAGAAGAGCTGGGATTGGACGACAGAGACGAGAATTTGGCAGCGTTGGTAGTGGGAGGATTGGGGACGGAGGTGGTGAGGGGCGTAGAGTGGGTTTGCGTGGTCGAGAGGAGTTGAAAAAGGTGAAAGGGGAGGGCCGTCCTTCTACGGTCTGGGAGGGAGTAGGGGAATTGTCAGAGGGGACTGGAGAGGAGGAGGGGGAGGAGGAGGAGGAGGGGAGCGAGGAGACAGCAGGTGCTTGGGCTGGGCGAGAGATTTGCAGTGAAGGAGGGAGGAGAGAGGGATGCAGTGTGGGGATGGGCGGGGAGAGGGAGGCGGATGGGGAGGACGATGTGTTGAGCTACGGGTCGAGACAGAGCCTTGGCGGGCTGGAGTATGCCCTGCAGCGGGCGCAGGAGGGCGGTGCGCAGGGAGCCGGGGGTGGAGAGGACGAGGGAGGAAGGGTGAATAGGCAAAAGCTGTGAGCAGCAGCAGCAGCGGCGGCGGCAGCAGCGACAGCGGCAGAATGGGAGTTCGTGTGAGACCTCTGAGGATGAGCTCCGTCAACAGGGTGCTGCCCGTATGCGTGGAGATGGGGATGGGGATGAGTGTGGGGATGGGAATCACATAAGAACTGCACAAGACGGATCAGGTTATGTTGGGAGAGGAGAAGCTCCGGCAGGGCTGTTTGAGGCAGATGGTGATGGTGATGGAGAAGATGAGGAGGAGGGTGAGGATGGGGTGATGGCGGGAACAGTTCATCCACGTGGCTTGCATGTGTCAGCACAGCAAGGAGGAGCCGTGGATCGAGGAGCCGAGGAAAGGGATGGGTCTGGCAGAAGGCACGATGGCGAGAGTGCATTGGACGCGACTGTTCCTGCTGATGTAAGTCATATAGTTCACTGGTTGAATCATGCCAACGTGTGAACCGTTGTGTGCATGACTTATTGTTTGTTTCCACTTTAGCCGTTTGTCTTTCACTGCATCTTCCAACCTTCATGTGCGTTTCATTCTCTCTCCCTCCCTACCCATGCATCTTGGACATACCCGGCTGGGTGGGTGCCATGCCATGCCATGCCATGCTATGCCATGCCATGCCATGCCATTCCACGCCATTCCATGCCACAGTGGACTGCTGCGAAGCTGAGCGCGCCTCTCCTGCGGCTGGTGGAAGTGCTACTGCACCTCGACGGCCACGGCTGGATCAGGTCAGTCCCTGGCGGCACGCTAAATTATTAGAAAGCATTAGGGCTGACTGGATTAGGTCCATACGGGCAGTATAGCTCTAGGTTGGTAAAAGTGGCTTGGCTGGATCAGGTGCGCTTGACAAGATCCTCCAGGCCAAATTTTCTTTGTCTAATCACCCACTCTATCTCTTCCTGCTCTACACCCCATTGATCTCTGGCAGGCGGCAGGTGGTGTGGGTGGCGAGGCAGGTGTTGGAGCTGAGCATGGGGGATGCAATTGATGACTTCCTGCTGTGAGGTGCCTTCAAACTAACTCATATCACCCACCGCCTCTCTCCCTCGTCCACTCCCCCGTGCTTGCCAGGCGGCAGGTGGTGTGGGTGGCGAGGCAGGTGTTGGAGCTGAGCATGGGGGATGCCATTGATGACTTCCTGCTCTCACAGATCCAAAAGCTCCGCACTGAAGCCACCGTCGCCACCATCATTCGCTCCCTGCACCAGGTCTGGGGCTCTTCACTCTGCACCCTCATTGCACCTCCCACACCTTCCTCTCCTGCGAATCCCACCTTTCATACCTCCTCCCACACCTTACATGGCACCATCACCCTCCCACCCCACTCCCCCCTCTTTCCCCCTTAACCCCCAACACCATCCAACCCACCTATGTTCTTATCCGCTATCCGTTTGTTCACCCCCTGACATTTCATCTCTGTATTCCTGATCTGTTTTCTCCCTCAAACACCCTCTTTGCTTCTCATCAGAGGTTGTGGCCGGATGGCATATTCTACTCGCGCCACCCAAATTACCGGGCCACAGTGGCAGCTTCGAGCTCCCGCACAGGCTCCTCTGCGCCTGCTGTCACTCGTCCCGACCCCCTTGGGCTCAACGTACCTCCAGAGTCCTTCCAGCAGCGACTGGAGGCTGCTGACAAGGCTGCTCGAGTTCATCAGCTTCTGCTTGGTAAGTCTTCATGGCAAAATAGAGCTGGTTTTTGGTTTGACATGTGTACCTAAGCACTTATTGTTACCTCTCTTCTGGTTTCTTTTACGCAGAAATGGCGCCTGCTTCAATTGTTCCACTGATTGGTTTGCGGCACTATCAGCGATCAGTTTCAGACCTGTTCAGCTTTGTGCAGGTGGGCTATGGCTGTGTAGCAGTGCCCGTCACTGTTCCTCGCAAAATAGCTTCTTTCCCTCTTTTCCTTGGACATTCCAGTTGCATGATTTCAGTTCCACTCACTGTTTTTTGTTGGGCAATTGCAGTCGCAGGTGTGCGTAAAGCAGCTGGCACATGCACTACTGGAAGTGGTCATACTAGCGTTGTTTCCAGAGCTGCACGTTGTGGTTGCCGAGATTCGCCATGGCCTTATTTAACCCACAAGTATTCCAGATAGCCCAGCCGTCCATACCGGTACCGTATGATCATCTGCTTGCTTCATACATTATAACTTCATGTGTACATAAACTACTAGGTACGGTAGTAAGCCTCATCGTGTGAAATCCAGTGGTAGGTATAATACGGTATGCTTATTCTTCTGCACCAAAAGCATGTGTGTGGAGGGTCCTCCCCTGCACCATTTGCCATCTGTCTTGGCTGCTCTCAGGGGAGCTTGGTTTGCTTTGAAGAAATGTTCTCCTCTTGCCCTCGTGCTTGCAATCATAGCTATCTGCCTTGTCGTGCCTGCGTTTTGAACCAATGTACGAGGCTTTCCTTGAGTCCTGCGCAAAGAAATTCTCAGAACGGCCACAGCTTTTCCTTCTGCCTTGTGATGTGCCAAAATCAGAACCACCAGAACGGTCCCTGAATGAGAGCCCAAGTCTTGGTTGAGAGTCAGGCTTTTTCCTGTCATCTGTGTTGACGTTCTCATACCTGCAGCATTGACAACGATGACCAGTCAGCTATTTATACTTACTATTCAAGGAGATGGTTTTTTTGCAACCAGGACTGACCTGCTTTTTTGTAACGGGTCATCAAGTGAGGCCTTGGATGTCAAAATCTTGCTTATCTCCTTAGCTCTCTGCATTGCCAAAGCAGCTGCCGCTGAGGCGGGACATGCACCCGAAGGCTTCCGAGAGGCATTCTGTTGCATAGCAAGCGCTTCTTGAAACTGCAACATTGGCTTTGCGACGATCTCTTGCAACGCTGCAGTGGCTCTACCTTCATGTCCGGGGAGGAAATTGGAAATTGCGTTGGCAGAGGCTGTCAGAGCTGCCTGGATCCTTTCTTGAGCGGTTTTCGCCAGCTCAACCTTCAACTTCACATCTGCAATCTCCATGTTGTTCATGTCCAAGGCGACCTTCGCTTCTTGTGGGGTCGAATAGCGAATATGAGCAACGGACCTGTCGTCGTTGAGATAGTCACATCTTGTGACCGTTCCACAGAAGGAGAATAATTGAAGAAGCTGTTCACGTGTAATCGCACGGGTCAGGCTCGTGACGTGTAGCGTGAGATTCAGCTCGCGGTCGTCCATACCACCTGAAACAAAACACGAGGTTTCATTAGGTGTTGAACTGATAAAGGTTGAGCATGAAGGTTCTTCAAGAAGTTCTTTCCACTTACGGAAGTGGCTAAGCTCAACCTCGCAGGCACGAGTTTCATCAGTTGCAGCATTCTCTGGGACTTTCAGGTTGGCGTTAGCGGCCGCTTTTGAGACCTTTCGCAGTGCTACTATAGCCTGTGCTGCTGCCATTGCCGCGGCGGACGGATTAAGCGGAGCTGCGTTCGCCATGACGACTCCTCTAGGATAAACCTGAAGCTGTCCCGTGGCCCCAGAAAACTATGAAAGAAAGGATTTTCGTTGCATGTCATGGTTCGAAAGGTGAATTTGAATGACTCTGGACCTTCATTCAAAAAGCCCATTTCGTGGGTGACGGATGATCCAAGCCGAGTCGCGAAGCCTTGAGATTTGAGCTAACCTCAATGTCCCCATTTGTACCCCTTGAGGTCAGCCGAAGCACGCAAGGCTCTCATGTGAGTGGGAGGGACGACATAGGGTGCGGAATCTACACAATACGCAAAAACCCAGTACATAAGGTGTGGCATTAGAACACAATTTTTTCCCAGCAATTTACACGTAAAAGCAACCACACTCTTTTGTATGATTTACGGTACGTATTCTGAAATTCAATGGGCATCAACACAACTCGTGCTCCTTTATGCAATGGGCTAAAACTTGGACAACATGATTCAACAAACAAATCAGAGTTTTGTGGCCAGCTTCTTTGTACATCACACTACACTACAAGACATGACTTGGGTACGCCAAAATACTTCTCCAGCTCATCCCGGGACTGCTTGTAATTGAAGACTCTACGCCATCGGTCATTGTGGAGCTTGTAGTGCAGCACCTGCAAGCATGCGCAGCCAGGAAAAATCACCAGTTAGTTGTGTATGGACTCCCAACACAAGACCTCACAAAAACTGCAGACACAGCTTCATGTTGAGGTGCAATGCACACCTCAATGAGTGTGTCAATGGCGTCGTCGTCCTTTAGCAGGCTGATGCCAAAAGCCCATGCCTCATTGTGGCCATACTCGTCCTGCTGCCTCTTGGCCTCCTGTGCGATCACCGAGTGATACGACAACCGCTGCCACACCACCTGCACTGTACCTTGCAGCGCACTCCCATGGTCAGCAGTGATAGCCTGTTGGCACAAGTATGGAGCACATAATCAGAAAGGAGAACACTAAGACTCGCTGACAGCATAATTGCATAACAATGTCATACACATTCACAGATTGAAAAAACAGATACGGGAATGGGTAGTGGGGGGAGGGAGGGAAAGAGAGGAGGGATATAACCAACTGGGAATGGGATAGTCCAGAACGACAATCGGCAGCACCTTGAGCTTTGTGAGCATGTTGGGAATGTCCCTCTCCTCTATGCGCACTGAGAATGAAGCATAGTCCAGAGCGTTCTCGAATGGTAGGTGAATGCCGTCCTGTTGCACATCGCACACAAGCAGCATGCACGCACGCCCACCAGTCACCAATCCCCCACCCCATGGATGGCAATCACCATGCCCACACACATACAACGCAAAGGCACGATTTTGGTGATTGTTGATTGGGAAACCTTAAATAGGGAGAGAAGGGCAGGCAAAAATTGAATAAAGAAAGGGAAACTGAAGGAAGGGGGCAGAGGCGGGGAGGATAACTGGAACGCATCTGAATTATCACTGGAATGTGACCATGCTTCATCGTTCCTCCATGTCAGCATTAAAGCCATTGCTGGGAAAACCGAGTTTCGAGGCGATTCAAATCTCGTCTCATATCATGCTGATTCACCTGAATGATGACAGGGATGCACCCATGCTTCATCGCCTCTTCCATGTCTGCATTGAAGCCATTGCTCGGAAAGACCCCGCAGAATTTGGCGTTGCCCAGCTGAGCGCTGTGCCCCTTGCCCCGCTCATTCGTAACTACCACCCCTTCCTCCTGCTGAGACCCCAGCTGTCCCTCCTTGTTTGGCACCAAGGCAAACTGCTGGGCCACGGCCTGCCGAATGCCGAAGCTGAACCTGCAGGCAGGGAAGGAAACGTACATAGAGAAAAATTGAACCACAAAAAGGAAGGCAAAGAAAGAAGTAACAGACCTGCTGTGCTCAGGTTGTTTTAACCCTATTACCACCTACCACATTCTCCCTTGCCATTCAAATATAACACATTCAACGGCTCAGATTGATTGCACGTGCATGCAGTGAACATACCTGCTATCTGGGGAGCCCCCCTTGTACTCAGCGCCCAGGTCGCCACCAAAATAAAAGAGGTGCTCCCTCTCCTCAAATGACCTGCTCTTCGCAAGACAACGGAGAGAGTGGGGCGAATCAGATTAAGAGGAGGAGATGAACGTGGACAATGTCGCAAGATGGGGTGGGATGGGAGAATCACGAGGAAGAAGTGGCATCTACTGAGCACAGGTTCAGGCGTACCTGAGCCTGGGAGATGCCTACCTGAGCCAGTACTGTTCATGCAGGTGCTTCACATTGGGCGGCAGCCAGGCTGGCAGCACAATATCCTTGGCAGCGGAGTAGCACAGGTGGCCGCCTCTCAGAGTCAGGGGTATGTCGTCCCACCGCTGCTGCGGCGCTGCCTTGACTGAGTGGGAGTGAGCTGCCATGCTGTTGCCCCAACTCGTCAGCATGGTGCCATGCCAGATGGCTTGAGGGGCTAAACACGCCCCTTCATCTGTGCCCATGGGCTGGAGAAGTAGTGGACGGGGAAAGAGGGGCAGGAAGGGACGGTAAAGGTGTGGTGGGGAGAGAGTGACCTTCATCCGTGCCCATGGGATGGGAGGAGGGAGGGAGCAAGATGGAGGTTTGACAATGAGTTGTGAGAGTGGGAGTGAGCTGCCATGCTGTTGCCATAGGAGGGTTTAGGGTGATGGGCTGTTGGAACGGGGCGGAAGGGGGGCAGGTGTGGGTCAGCCATTACCAGCGTCGTATGCTATAGGGAACAGGGAGTGTGACATACAATGAAACTCACAAGGCGCCTTACTATCACCTTGCAGCCGAGCACCCTGTAAAGGAGCAGCAGCAAGCAAGAGAGAGCGCCTTACCCAGAGGTGATCACGGCCCCTGCTGCGGTTCCAGTGGGGGTATGCATGCACGATATGGCGATGCACTGTAGCATACATCTCTGCGACGTGCCACGCCCAGTTGCCCTGCACGTGCGGCTGGTAAGGGGGCCGTGCAGAGGAGCGAGGGGTGGAGAAGACGCGAGGGGAGGGGAGTGCGCATTTGATGAGCAGAGGAGTGAGGCATTCTGAGCCGCGAGGCCGATTTGTCACAGCACGAGATATGTGCCTAGACTGTGATGCATGAGTAAGAGGTATCACTTTTGAGACGTCTCAAAAGTCGTCTGTGATGCATGACTAGAGAGGTATCAGTGAGAGAGAGAGGCATACCAGGAGCTGGATGCCGGACGCATCTCCAGCGTTGGTGAGGCGCAGCCAGAGGCAGGAGGCGTAGACGGGCACAAAGAAGAAATCCGCCTCCTCCGCGTTGGTCGTGCGGTGCTTGCTCGCCAACAGTGCCTCGTGCAGGGCGATCTGGGGGAGGCAGGAATGGGGTCGGGTTGACCAGAGGGCGGGCAGGCGGGGACTGGCACCGGAGATTGGGGTTGACCATGGAAAGAGGAGGGGGAGAGGAAAGGTGCTTGCTTGCCAGCAACGCCTCGTGCAGGGCGATCTGGAAAAGGCAGCGTATGGGGACGGGCAGGCGGGGGGTCAGGGGCGGGTGCCAGAGATGGGGTTTGGAAAGGGGAGGGAAAGAAGAAAGGTGCTTGCTGACAAGCACGGCCTTGTGCAGCAAGAGTGGAAAGATCATGACCTTAACCTCCATGCCATGGATATGGTCGGGCAGGAAGGCGGTGCAGTTGAGGCGGTCGTACAGCCGCATGGTGCTGCATGCTGCATGCCACGACACTGACTGAGCCTCGGCCTGACTGACCTAGTATGTGAACTTGCGCTTATGGATCGGCACGCACTCCTTACCTTCATGCCATGGGTGCAATCACGCTACTCACCTCCATGCCATGGGTGCAATCACGCTACTCACCTCCATGCCATGGGTGCAATCACGCTACTCACCTCCATGCCATGGGTGCAATCACGCTACTCACCTCCATGCCATGGGTGCAATCACGCTACTCACCTCCATGCCATGGGTGCAATCACGCTACTCACCTCCATGCCATGGGTGCAATCACGCTACTCACCTCCATGCCATGGGTGCAATCACGCTACTCACCTCCATGCCATGGGTGCAATCACGCTACTCACCTCCATGCCATGGGTGCAATCACGCTACTCACCTCCATGCCATGGGTGCAATCACGCTACTCACCTCCATGCCATGGGTGCAATCACGCTACTCACCTCCATGCCATGGATATGATCAGGCAGGAAGGCGGTGCGGTTGAGCCGGTCATACAGCCGAGGCACGCACTCCTTCTTGCCGCGCCGCCCCTGCAGCAAGTGGCTGTTGAACTGCGGCGGTAGATCGTAGATGTAGATCAACGGCCGACGTTTCACCACCTCGTTCCGGCCCCCTGCCCCCCCTGCTGCCCCCCCTGCACCTGCCCCCCCTGCTCCCCCCCTGCACCTGCTGCACCTGCCCGGCCACCACCAGCGTTTCTCCCTGTCTCAGCAGCACCCTCACCATCGTACCCCCCTCCCTCCGCGTCTTCTTCAGGCCCCCCCTCCCCCTCCTCCTCGTCCTGCCTCCCCCTTAGCCACCGGCCCTCGTTAGAGTCACGCAGGCTACGGTCAACAACAGGCGCCTCCCACTCGCCATAATCACCCGTGCCACTAGAACTATCCACCATTCCACCACCCAAGGCACCTCGCCTATCTGTCTGCCTCTCCAAGGCATCAACCCCTTCATCTTCCAGCCCTAGCAGTCTCCTCCTCCTCCTGCGCCTCCTCCAACCCAACTCCTCATCTCCTCCTCCCCCTCTCTCCCCTCCCCTTGCCCACTTCCCTCCATACGCCCTTCCACCCTCTCCTTCCTCCTCCCCTGCCTCCCCTTCTCCCTCCTCCCCTCCCATCTCTGCCTCTAATGCTGCCTCCTCTTCCTCCTCCGTTGGTCCATTACTCTTCCCTCCCCCACCCAACCCACCTCCCCCTTTTCTTGCTTGGGTTTCTGCACCCAGGCCAGGCTCGGTGGTGGAGGTCCGGGAGCCAGAGCTGCTGCCGAACCTCTTGGCCTGGTCGAAGGGCTGCAGCCAGGCCGGGAGCTGAGGGTCGGCGAAAGTGGCTTGGGAGGGCACGCTGCAATCGACACTGAACCAACCCTCGTTGCACTGGGTGCATGGGTGGGGGAGGGGAGGTAGAGGGCGAGGGGGAAAATGGAAGCGGCAAGGGGGTTGAGGGAAGGGGATGCATAAGGTAGCAGTTTTCGGGTCAACTGGCGATTGATAGAACACTGCACTGCACTGCACTGCACTGCACTGCATTGCACTGCACTGCACTGCATTGCACTGCACTGCGTATGGCATGGCACCAGTCATTCACACGCACCTGGCAGTGCCCCCTTATGCACGTGCCATGCCCCGAGCACTGGTTGACACAGAAGGCCGCCACAGGAACATGACAGAAAGCCCCCACAGCCCCGTCGTAGTCACACGTGCACCGCGCCCGCGGCTCTGCCCCGCCCATCGCCATGCTGCCGCCCATACCCACCCCCACCGCCTCTGGACGTGTGTTGCACCAGCCGGGGTAGTGCGTGGTGTTGGCGTATAGAGCTTCCGTGTCCTTCTGGGTTCTGTCCACCGCTCCTGCTCTGAAGGGTGTGGGCGGGGGGTTGAGAGATGGAGGGCGGGAGGAGGGAAGCGCTTCTTGCGCCAGCGGGGGTAGTGCGTGGTATTGGCGTATAAGGCCTCCCGTGTCTCCCCGCGTTCTGTCCACCGCTTCTGCTCTGAGGGGGAGCACGGGAAGGGAAGGCGGCAGCGCACGCATGTGTTGCAGCAGCAGCATGGGATTCCTCAGGAATGCACTCACAGGAACTTACATGTCACGCACTCACTTCTCACGCACTCACATCCCACGCACTCACAGGTCATGTGCGAAGCCACAGGGGTCAGGGACAGGGCGGAGGGGGAAGAGCGAGCCAGCGCCGCAGAAGCAGAGGCCCGAGTGCAGGTCGCACTCTCCCGCACACGCCCACGCGCTCCCAGCCACCACTCCGGGGGAGGAAGTGGGTGGGGAGGAGCAGGGATGCGCGTCCATGTGTGAGCAGTCCGCTCCTGTCAGTTGGGCAGGTGGTGGAATATATAAGAATCTCGATTTCGAGGTGTCTCAAGAAGGAGTGCAACTGTGTGGGAACAGTCCTCTCTTGCCTTACCAGGGAGGCTATCAGGTAGCAGTCAGATTGCTGTGACAGGAGAGGAATAAGCAGCAATCACAACAGTATATAATGATAATAATCATTATAGTAATGAAATGAGCCCACCTGTGTAGCCGATGCGGCAGCGGCATCTGCCAGTGTCGTAGTGACACGTGCCCACCCCATTGCAGTCCTGCATGCACTTGTTGCCGTACACCTCCTGTTGCATGCCATGCCATGCCATGCCATGCCATGCACACCAAGCACGCATGCACCCCATGCCATCCCATGCGCCCCATGCATCCCAAGCATCACGCATGCACCCAATGCACTCCATGCGTGATGCATGCATGCATGCATGCATGCATGCAGACGTGGAGGGATGCATGAACGCACGTGGGGTGGGTAACCATGCATCCCATGTCAGGCACACGTGGAGCATGGACATGTGAAAAGGCGCCCATTAATGGCGGTGGTACAACCAACCCTCGAGCGCACCTTCACGCAATCCTATTCCTCCCCTTGCTTCCCTCCCCTCCCCTCCAAGCCCTTATCCCGCACCCTCCCCTCTCCCCAGTCCCACCTCCGTCCTTGTTCCCCCCACCCACCCACCTCCACGGTTTTTATCACCCCGACTCCCCAATCCAACAAAGTGACTTTTGAGTCGACTCAAAAGACCCCCCAGTCCCACCTCCCGCCTTGTCCCCCCTTCCGACACCCACCTCCACGGTCTTAATCACCCCCGACTCCCCATTGCAGCTGCTCAGCCAATCACCAACGTCGAATCTCCACGGCGCGCCGCGCCACGTCACCACCTCGTCATCCAATCGGCTCCTCTTCCGCTTCCCATCCTCCCCCACCACTTCCCCCTCCCGCCCCACCCCCGCGGAGTCCCTGTAATCTTCCACTTCCGCCGCCTCTTCCCCCAGCTGTCCCCCGCCGCCCGCGCCCGCCCCCGCGCCCGTTTTTCCCCATCTCCCCCCTCCGCGCCCCGGCTTCGCGTCCGGATACAGCCCCTCCTGCGGGTCTTCCCCCGGTTTTCCGCCACCCCAGTTTCCGCCAGCGCCGGTTCCCCAGTCACCTCCCCCCGCGCCCCGCCCGCCTGACGGTAACGTTGACGGATCTAGAGTGGACGCGTCTACGCCTTTAAACGAGTCGACTGGTAAAGGTCGGTAACCTCTAGGTTCTCGCGACCCGGTTCCTGTGCCGTCCAGATCAGACGGATAGAGTGAATCTGAACCGTCCGATGGGGGCGTAGTTGTGGTGGGGGACACTGCTGCAGGGGAAGTGAGGAAGATTATAACGAGGATGAATACTGCAACGGCTGCGATTACAGGCCATCTGAACCAAATCGCATCGGAGCAGAGAGACGACAGTGAGGAAAAAGAATACGAGGAGAGGAGGGAGAAGGGGTAAGGGAGCGAACTAGGCCCCAACGGTCGATCTAAATCTAAATCGAACGGTCGACGACGCTTCCCTCGTTTTCCTGACGGATCCAGGAGGCTATCCCCATCGTTGTCCTCATCCTCGCTATAGTCCTCCTCGCTAATCTCGCTATAATGCCCGCGCGACCCCCGCGCGCGCCTGGCGGGGGGGGAGGGGTACTGCTGCAGTGGCGGGGAGCGCGGGGAGCGCACCGAATGCGGGGAGAAAGGGCCGTCGTGCGACGCGTGGAAGTCGGGAGGCGGGTGCAGCAGCAGCTCCTCCGTTTCGGGAATCGGCAGATGGTCTACTAACGGGGGGCCGCTGTGGCCTTCCCTCTCTAGAACCTCCATCGTTTGTCCCTCGTGTACGAGCGTTTAGGATTCAAGATTTACTGTTTTTTCTCCAATGCTGACGAGTAATGTTTCACACATAGCAGTTGTACTACGAAATTTGAAATTCCTGCGAAACCTATGAATTGTTACGCCGAGGCGAAAAGTGTCAGCTTTGTTTCTTGCGACCACGGTTGTCGCTTGGTCAGAACACAACCCTTCATGAGGCTGAGGGTGCGTTCCTGGCTGGTGTCAAGCTTCGGGCCTTCCCGGGAAGACCCGAAGCTTTGGGTTAAAGTTCCTGTCAAACTTTGTGTTTTCCGGAAACAGTGGTAATTTTTGGCCGGAAGACCCGAAGTTGGTCTCGGATGACCCAAAGTGGGTCTAACTTCCGGTCATCCGCGGATGACCGGAAGCTTGACACGCGCCAGGAACGCGCCCTGAGCTGGCCTGAAACGAGCCCTGAAGCAGCTCAATCCAGCCCTTTCGGGGCATTTTGATTCCTGCCTTGAGAAACATGAATCAGAAGCCCAAGCTATTCTAGCGACACAGGGGTACCTACAGAGCCAACCACGCTGGGTGCGTGGTGGGGGGTCGTGGAGGACCAGGTGCGCAGGGAATCCAGGGAGGGCTCCAAACACATCCGATGATTGTTCCACACCCTTCAAATTGCATATTTTTAAAAAACCACTCCCCAAGGGTTGCCCACACTTCAGTGACGTATTTGACCAGGCACGGTGATGCTTGCACCGCAATCAATGCCCCCCATAATGACAGTGGGCTATGCTTTAAAAATAGGTGTAATTTAACGGGTACAAAAGCCTGAAAGGTAATCTTCAAAACGACTCCACTATACGAAGGTTTACTATTGGAATCAGAGCTATAACGAGGTACAATGAGCTTTACGAAGGTTTAAATGACGGTGTAAATCAAGACTCCGAAAACCTCAACACCCTTCAATTGGTTTGTGCACCGGGCATGGTGGTGCTTGCAGCGGAATCATTGTCACGCCCGATTATGACGGAGGGCTATTTTTTAAATGGAGGTGTAATTTAACGGGTACAAGTACGTGACGGGTAATCTCATAAACGACTCCGTTATACGAAGGTTTTTTGGTCAAGAAATGAACAAAAAAAGGTTTTGATGACGGTGTTTGTCAAAGACCCGAAGATTTATGCTCTTCAGACTAGTTAAATTTTACAATTTTGTCCTTCCTAGTGATTTTCACTCTTCATTGATGAATTTTTGGAGGAGCAGTACAGACGAATTTCACAGGTTCGTGGATCAGGCACGGGAGCTTGGGCCAGGCGTCAGTCTTACGATGGGCTATGCTTTAAACAAGAGGTGTAATTGAACGGGTACAAGTACGTGACGGGTAATTTCACAAAAGACTCCGCTATACGAAGGTTCTACTGTAAAAAACAGAGCTATAACGAGGTATTTCCTTGATGGTGTTTGTCGAACATCGTAAGATCTTTCACACCATTCAAATCGTTTCTTCTAAAAAAACACCCCGTTTAGGGATTTCCAGTCTCAAGGATTTCTACCCTCTCCACTTGCACCTCAAAAACGAATTTCCTAACAGCAGGTTACGGAATGACTGTTTCGATCCGTTGGGAAAAAATTCCCCGTGCTGTCCGGGCAAGAGAGGAACCAGCCCTGAAACCTCTCGGCTGAGAATAATTAACCTGAATTGTTAGGGAAAACGGATATATGTCCAGAAATCGAGCGGTACGCGAAACCTTTCGCAATGCCCAATCAAGCCCATACTCAAAACCAGTCAGGCGAAACGAACCAAGGTGGGGTGGTGTGGTAACTCGATATATTTGTGTTCGCCCAATCTCCCTACACTCCCAACCCGCACAACCCACTCAATCAAAAAAATGCACTGCGACGCATAGCAGGCACTGCGACGGCTTGGGGGTTCTTCCGAGGGTAATAGCCTTGCTTTCAGCGGCGTTGCTGCGTGGGCCGGTAGTTATTGTCGATTTTTTAGGAAAGGAACTCCACCAGACCCCACACCCTTCTCTCACAGGAATAATCTCACCTCGTCGCACTCATATTATCCGCAACCTCGCCATCCCATCGCATCGCATCGCATCGCGTCCGGTCGCATCGTATCCGATCGCATCGCACACAACCTTGTTCTGAAACGCAAATGCAGAATCAGCCGCCCGGGCCGCTGGGCCCGCCGCAGCAGGCGCAGCCACCTCCGCCGTTCGCATACGGCCACGCGCCAGGCCCGGGGCGCGGAGCGGGAATGGGGATGGGCGGACCGGGGCCGGGGGGTCCAGGGATGGGCGGACCGGGACCGGGTCCTGGACCGGGGATGGGGCCACCGGGACCGGGGGGCGCGGGGATGGGCGGACCAGGGCCGGGGGGACCGGGGATGGGGCATGGTCCCGGACGCGGTCTTCCCGGTCCGGGGGGTCCGGGGGGACCGGGGGGGCCGGGGGGACGAGGGGGACCGGGGCACGGGGGCCCCGGGCAGGGGTTTGGGCGCGGAGGCGGATTTGAAGGCGGGTTCCATCCTGGCGCAGGGTTTGGGGGGCGCGGGGAGTATGGCGGAAGGGGGGACTATGGTGGCGGACGGGGCGGAGATTTCGGTGGTAGAGGCGGGTTCTTTGATGGTGAGTACGCTGCTGCTTCCAGCCCCCCCACGACCCCCCCCCCCCCCCTTCCCTCCCCTCCCGCCCCTCCTTCCTCCCTACTCCCCCCTCCACCTTCCCATCCCACTCGTTCCCCCGAACCTTGCTTCCCCTTTTTCCCCCTTCCAGCGCGCAGAATGCAACAGCGCAAAGTGGATTACAATGCCACTGTCCCCTCTCAACCTGTCTCAACCTGTCTTAACCTGTTCCAACAAGCCTCACACCACCACCAGTCCCCACTCTCCAGCGCAGAAGGGCATGCAGCGGCGAACAGTGGACTACCTGCACAAGCGCGCACATCTGCTTGCACTGCTTTGTCCTCCTCCCCCACCCACCCCTCTTCTAGCGCGCAGGATGCAGCGCCGGGGCATGCAGAGGCGAACAGTGGACTACAGCGCCACGGTGGCGCTCTACCTGCACGCCCATGCCACCTGACCATGGCAAGCTGTCCCACTTCAGACCCTCCCAATCGCTCTCAACCCACCACCACTCCCACTTGTATGCAGTGCGCAGGATGCAGCGCAGAGGCATGCAGAGGCGAACAGTGGACTACAGCGCCACGGTGGCGCTCTACCTGCACGCCCATGCCACCTGACCATGGCAAGCTGTCCCACTTCAGACCCTCCCAATCGCTCTCAACCCACCACCACTCCCACTTGTATGCAGTGCGCAGGATGCAGCGCAGAGGCATGCAGAGGCGAACAGTGGACTACAGCGCCACGGTGGCGCTCTACCTGCACGCCCATGCCACCTGACCATGGCAAGCTGTCCCACTTCAGACCCTCCCAATCGCTCTCAACCCACCACCACTCCCACTTGTATGCAGTGCGCAGGATGCAGCGCAGAGGCATGCAGAGGCGAACGGTGGACTACAGCGCCACGGTGGCGCTCTACCTGCACGAGCGCGCACGCCAGTGGGACGCACGTGACGCCTCTGACCCCCTGCCCACCTCCTCCGCTTCCCTCAAGGTGGGCTTGAATTGACTTCGTCACAGCTGCTTTTTTTTTATTTTTACTATTATTACTCTCTACACGCGATTCCTCGGACCTCGTACCCACCGCCTCCGCATCACTCAAGGTGGGCAATGACTCGAATCAATCAACTCTCCAACAAAGCCCCTAGGCATCACTCGTATGCCAATCAACAGAGCCCGGCCTGCACCCTGCTCTCGAGCCTCCTCACACTACTCCCGCTTCTGTACCGCTTCTCCTCCTCTTCTCTTCCGCTTCTCACCTTCCACCGCTGTCATCCCCCCCTCCCCCACTCCCTTCCCCTTCCGTTCCTCCCTTTCCACCCTCCCCCCCTTTCTGTGCCTTCCCCTCCCCCCCTTACCCAGTTGCTCCCCTGCATGGCATACGAGGACTGCCCAGCAGCCAGCATCGCGTCTCGCTTTGTGCACGCCTCCACCAACAAGATCCGCTGCCCCATCAACCAAGTCGTGGTACGCCATGGGTGCAGTGCGGTGACGTGGTGTGCTGTGGGTGCAATGCGGTGGTGTGGGATGGAATTAGGTGGTTTTTTAGTCGACTCCAAGATCGTTTGTGCACGCCTCCACCAACAAGATCCGCTGCCCCATCAACCAAGTCGTGGTATGCCATGGGTGCAGTGCGGTGCGGAGGCATAGCATGAGTTGGGGCGGGATGAATTGTGGTGATATGTGGTGCAGTAGGGTGAATTGGGGTGGTGGTACGGTAGGCTACTGCATACTGCCACCCTGCGGCTGACATCGCGTCACAGCACATTCATCAATCCCCTCCCATGCCCACCCACATGGCCCTTCTCGCTACCCAACCCCTCCCCCTGCTCTCACCCTCTCCCCCGCCACACCATGCACCCCCATCTCGTCTTCCTTCCTTCCTCTCTCCCAGCACCTGTCTCCATGTTGCTATCTCCTGACGGAGTCGCAGGGCACTTCACTTCCTTGCCCCACCCCATCCCACCCCGCCTCACCCCACCCCGTCTCACCCTTCCCAACCCCTCGCCAGTGGACGCCCACGGGGCGGCGGCTGCTGACAGGGTCACAGAGTGGCGAGTTCACTCTGTGGAACGGGCTGTCTTTCAACTTTGAGATGCTCATGCAGGTGGGTGAGGGGGAGGGGAGGGTGGTGATGTGGGTGCTGCTCTTGAGGCTGTTGCAAGATGTGCTGCTGTGGAGCGCTGACACGTTCTCCTTATTTTGTGTTCTGTGCAGGCCCACCAGGTGTTTTTGAGACGTCTAAAAAATGAGGGTGTTTTTACGTTCTGTGGAGCGCTAACATGACACATTCTCCTTGCTTTGTGTCCTTTGCAGGCTCACCAGGTGGCGGTGAGGAGCATGGTGTGGAGCCACAACGGCAACTGGCTCGTGTCAGGGGACGACTCAGGATGCATAAAGTGAGATTTGTTTCGATAGGTCGTGACGAAGTTTGAAACTCTTTGCAAGTGCTTTTGATCAAGCTTCAACTGCTTTCTGCTGACTCCATTGACCCCATTGACCCCCCATTGACCCCCCATTGACCGCATTGACCCCCCATTGACCCCATTAATCCCCCATTGACCGGATTGACTCCATGGAGGCAGGTACTTTCAGACGAATCTGCGCATGATGAAGGAGAACGCCACTGCGCACAAGGAGTCCGTGCAGGGCGTCAGGTACTTTCGCTCTCTCCGTCCTGGTCCCCGCATGTACTTCCGTCCCTTCCTTCCAGTCCAGGGCGTCAGGCATTCGGTTTTCTCCAAGTATCACACTCTTATCACACGTACCAGGAAATTTTTGTCGTGATTCGTGACTGCCCGCTCTCGTCCTGACCAGTTGGCTTGTTTTGCCTGAGTAGCGTTTTCCTCTTTCCAACTCCTTCCGCTCTCACATCCATCCACCCAGGCATGCAAAGTCAATGCTTCCATCTTCCCACCTCTCCACTTCCACCCCCTCCACTTCCCGCCTGAACGCAGCTTCTCCACCTCCGATCTCAAGTTCTGTTCGTGCTCGGATGACACGGCAGTGAAGGTGTGGGACTTTGCGCGCTGTCAGGACGAGGTCACCCTCGCAGGTCACCGCTGGAACGTGCTGTGCGTCGACTGGCACCCCTTTAACTCCCTCATCGTCTCAGGTAAGGCATTGAGGGAGTCATTTCTAGATCAACCCTTCTTTCCTCCTTGGTCATCTCAGGCATGTTTGGATCCATCCCTCAACAATCCGTCATTCCTTTGGTACGACTCTCTGCCCTCCGAGTCGGTCTATCAGTCCTTCTTCTGGTCTTGATATCTTGTCTGTGTCCTCCTTCTCCTCCCATTGCCCGCTGTCAGGTGGCAAGGACACGCATTCAAAGCTTTGGGACGCGCGCACGGGCCGGGAGGTGTGCACCCTGTGAGTGGGACTGCTGTGATTGCAGCTCACCCTGCAAGCACCATGCACCCTGCACCCTGCACCCTGCACCATGCAGGATGCATGCACCACACACCACCACCCCTCCAATCACCCACCACCATGCACCACATCGCATCCATCACCTCTCATTTACCACCCCTGCTCACCCACCCACCACCAGGTACGGGCACTAGAGCACAGTGCGGTCAGTGGCATGGAACCAGAACGGCAACTGGCTTGCATCATCACCTACCACCCACCACCACCTCACCACTCACCCACCTCTCTCCCACCCACCTTCCACCCAATTATGCACCAGATACGGGCACAAGCGCACGGTGCGGTCAGTGGCATGGAACCAGAACGGCAACTGGCTTGCATCATCCTCCGACGACCAGCTCGTAAAGGTGAGTGTGCTCCTTTGAAATCGACTCAAGAAATCAACTCAAGAAGTCGACTCAAGAAGAGGAACCAGAAAGCCGACTCAGAAAGTCGACCCGAAATGTCGACTCGAAAAGTCGACTCGGAAGTCCAACTCTGAAGTCCTCCAACAATCAGCTCGTGAAGGCACATCCCCCTTGCCTCCCTCTTCCCCCACCGCCCTTCCTCAGCTGTACGACATTCGCACACTCAAGGAGATGGAGACGTTCAAGGGTCACACGAAGGAGGTGTCATCCATAGCATGGCATCCCATGCACGAAGACCTGCTCGCCAGTGGCGGCTCCGATGGCAGCATCCTCTTCTGGCTCGTGGGGTGAGCTGGGGTTGGGGGATTGGTGGGGGAATGGGGGGGGATGGGTGGGGCATGGGTGGGGCATGGGCAGGGCATAAGTTGGTGCCACTACTCTCATTTTTTAATCGCCTTGGAATCACCCTCTCCTATGCCCCCGCTCCAACGTTCCAGTTCAAACACGAGTGGGCCAGCAACAGAGGTGACAGGGGCGCATGAGAATGCAGTGCTATCGCTGGCATGGCACCCGCTGGGGCACGTTCTGTGCAGCGGCAGCCGCGACCAGAGCACCAAGTTCTGGAGCCGCAACCGACCTGGCGATGCTGTGAAGGACCCGATGGGTTCTGTTAACACCGCCTCCCCTGCTGCTGCTGCCGCCGCCACTCCTGGTTATGCTGGTGAGTGTGAGTAGTGTGAGCGAGTGTGGGTGTGAGTGTGAGTAAGTGTGAGCGAGTGTGGGTGTGAGTGTGAGTAAGTGTGAGCGAGTGTGTGGGTGTCAGTGAGTGTAATTGTGAGTATGAGAGAGTTAGTTTGTGATTGTGTGTGTGTGCGTGAGTGTGAGCGAGTTTTGAACCCTCCCCTCCCTCTCTTTTCCCCAACACCAGGACCCCCACCTGCTAAGGAGCCACCCCCCTCAGCACCACGGCCTGTCTCCGCTCCCCCTACCGGCTCATCTGGTTCACGCCACCCGTCACGCCCACAGCAGCAGCAGCGGCGGCACCAGCACTCCCAGTCCCACAGCACCCAGCCCTTCCCTCCTTCAGAAAGACGCCCCTCCTACCAGCACCCGCAGCAGCAGTATCAGGAGCAATACCAGCAGCCATACCAGCAGCAGGGCCAACAGTACCAGCAGCATCAGCAGCGGCAGTTCCACCACCCTCATGCCTCACACTCCCTCTCCTCTGCTGGTCCACCTCCTTCCCTCCCTCCCCATGCGCCTCCTCCTCCCCATGCTCACTCCATGCCTCCTCCACTCCATGGGCACCCTCCGAACCTGCCGCCAGGTCCGGGAAGCATGGGAGGAGGTGGGGGGCCAGGAGGGGGTTATTCTGGGCAGGGCGGTTTTGAAGGAGGGGGTAGGCCAGGCCCCTTGGGTGGGATGGGTGGAGGGATGGGATATGGGATGGATGTGGGGATGGGGGGGGAAGGGGGCATGGGCAGACCAGGATATGGGCCTGGGGGGGACATGGGTCTTGGTGGCTTAGGGGATGGGTTTCATGGGGTTGGTGGGGGTCCCATGGGGCAGTTTGGTCATGGGCAATATGGAGGCCAGGGGATGGGGCATGGACCCCCTCCACCTCAACCACCGCCACCCTACCAGCAACGCTATCCTTGAGAATGTTCTGATAAATGATATTGTTCTGGGGATATTTGAAAATCAAAGCCCGGGCAATGCATGTTAGAGCGTGTTCCTGCGGCCTCGTATCAGGCAACCAGGCCCCCAGAAGTCAGAGAAATTTCTCTGATTTGCCTAAAAAAGTCTGATATTCAGCCTTTTTTTTAAGTGGACTCTGAAAGTTCAGAGTTTTTTTGGCAGCAAACTCTGAATATTCAGAAAAAAAGTATAGGCCTTGTCTGAAATTTCAGACTTTTCCTCGGAGTGTACTCTGATTCCTGATCCTGTTTGGGCTCTCTGCTCCGATTGTACCTACGCGAACTCTGCACAGACAGCCGCAATTAGCGCCGGAAGGATCGTTTCGTCCTGTCAGTCACGCTGAAACAGTGACAGCACTGCTGCTGCGCGGGTGTATCGCCTCGTTTTAGGCTGATCGGTAAGCTTCACTACTATGTGAACTTTGCTCTATCAGACTTTTGTGTTTGAACTCTGAAATTTCAGACTTTTTTTTGTATCAAGTCTGATTGATCAGACTAAAAATGTGCACTAAGTCTGATGAATCAGACAGCTTGAAAACGAATCTGAGGGCCTGCAGGCAACCTCGTATCAGATTCGCGTCGAACCGCACTAAAACGCATCCAACCGAAGTCGCACATGCTGATACAACCAAAGGATCAGTGGACAGGATAGAATGTGTTAAGCCTGAAAGGAGACAGTGAAGTCTCTGTAGTGACCTTGTTGAATAATAGTTGAAAGAGAACAAGATGATTAGAGAGTAGGAGTACAAGAAATTAAATAGCAAACTATCTAGCCATGTACTCTGAGGGGTACATTCCCTTATTAACTGTATTACATAGCTACAGTAACCACGACTATTGCTATTCTTGACAGTTACCGTGTTGCAGTCTGTTAACTGTCGCGCGGTTACTGGATCGTCAAGGGTCACGACCGTTGACTATCTTAGACGGTTGACCTTCGGGTGACCCTCGAGATTCCGCGTGCTCTATATGAGCTAATGCGGTACTAGTACAGTGGAGCAACTTCGGGAATGCCTTTATAACCTTTCGGTTATTCCAACACTCCCCTTCATTCCAGAAGGTGGGCCACGTGGGATTTCTTGGTGATCCCACAGAGGTTGGCGCAGTGCTGGTACTGCTGACGTGGCAGTTTCTTCGTCAGGAAGTCGGCTGCCATGTCACCGGTCGGGCAGTACGTCAGCTTGACTCTCCCCTTGTCGATTTCGTCCTTCACGAAGAAGTAGCGAAGGCCGATGTGCTTGGTGCGGTTGACGAAGCCGGGCTTGTTCGCGATCTTTATCGCGCTCTGATTGTCGCAGAGTAACGTGAAATGCCCGTTCATCGTCACTTTCGCCTCCTGCAGGAGCTCCATCAGGTACAGACCTTCGCGAACAGCTGCGCTAGCTACGATGAATTCCGCGTCAGCTGACGAAAGAGCGATGAGTTCCTGCTTCTGGGAGTTCCAGGAGATGAGTCCAGCAGGTTGGAGTTGGAAAATGAATCATGTGCGGGAGCGTCTGTTATCAACATCTCCAGCATGATCGGCATCCACGTAGCCATGAAGCTGCAGAGTAGCGGTGAGGTTGGCTTCGTAGGTGAGGCCGACGTCGGGAGTGGAGATGAAATACTGCAGTGCTCGGCGTAGATCCAGTAGATTCTCCCCTTCAGGTCGCTTCAGGTACTGTGCGAGCTGGCTAGCGACGTAGGAGAGATCGGGCCGGCACGTGACGGCGGCGAACAGGAGGCAGCCGAGCTGCTGCTAAAAGAGACGATGGTCGTCAGGAGAGAGTGGCGTGGTGTCGGGCTCGTGGTTAGGAGGAGGAGTGCGGTAGGGGGTAGTGAGGTTGATGGGAGCGATGGCGAACCGCTTCGCGAGTGTTTCGGCGTATTTGGCGGCGGAGAGGTGAATGGAGGAGGCGGACTGGGTTACGTTGAGGCCGAGGAATTGGGTGACGTTGTGATTGACGGTGACTTCTAGCTTCTCCTGGATGTCGGCCTCGAATTGGTCGAGTAGCTCCGTGTCGTCCCCGGTGTAGAGAAGATCGTCGACGTAGGCGACGAGGAGGATGAACTTTCCGCGCGACTCCCGCCTGTACATTCCGAGATCGTGCGGCAGTTGAGTGAAGCCGAGCTCAAGGAGGACGGAATGCAGGTACTGCTGCCACAGACGAGGAGCTTGCTTGATTCCGTAGAGAGACTTTTGGAGGAGGCACACGGCGCCGTCGTTTTCCTCGAATGCGTGGGGCTGTTCGACGAAGATGATGGCATCAACGGGAGCGTACAGGAAGGCGCTTCCGACGTCGATTTGCCGGAGCGGTCGCTGTTTGACGGCGGCGATGCAGATGAGGATGCGCACCGAAGTGTGACGGCCGACTGGAGCGTAGGTGAGGGTGAAGTCCACCAGGTGAGTTTGCTCGAATCCCCGCACCACCCAGCGCGCCTTGTACTTGTCGATCGAGCCATCGGCGAGAGTTTTGATGCGAAAAACCCATTTGCCGCTGAGAATTTTTCTCCCCTTTGCCGATGACCGTGGAACCAGCTTCCAGGTGCCGCGCTTCTTCAGCGACGCGATTTCGGCGGCCATGGCTGCTCTCCATTTGTCGCTGTCGGGGCCAGACAGGGCTTGGCGGACGGTGGTGGGTTCCTTGGGCGAGGTGTGGCGAACTGCAACGGCGAGGCCGAGAACCCGAAGACCGGTTTCGTTGGTCTTTTCGTAGAGAAGACGGTCGTAGTCGTGGGAGCTGGTAACTTCGACCACGTCGTCATCACTGTCGTTGCCGAGGCGGAGGGTGTCTTGCGACAGGTTGGGTTGTGGTGACTCGGCATTGGGTGATCGGCGCGTTTCGCTGTTGTAGTTGTGAGCTTCGCGTGTTATATCATCCGGATCGGGTTGGTGTACGGGCACGAATGTCGGAGTTCCGAGTTGGCTCGTAAGGGGGATGTTCGGAGCAGAGTCCATCTGGGTGACATCAGGTGCATTTCCATCCTCGGCCAGGTCAGCTTCGTCGTGTGACGTGGCGAAGCTGCGGTGGCCCTCGAAGAGCCTCTCGGGCAGTTTGTCAGCTTCCTGGTGCTCCTTAAAAAGGGGCAGAGTCAGCTTCTCGTAGAAGATGCAGTCACGTGATTTTGTTACCTCGTGTGTCGCGTAGTCCAATATGATCCACGCCTTGAATTCTTTTTCGATTCCGAGATGGATGCCCCATCGTGCCCGGTCAGCAAATTTTCCCGTCCGCGCAGTATGGGGTCTGTACTGTACCATGCACCCGAACACCCGAAGCAGGCGTGTATCTGCTTTTCTGCCCGTCCAAGCCCGGTAAGGAGAGTTGTTGTCCTTGAGGCTTCGCGAAGACAGCAAGTTGTGCAGCCGAACAGCGTGATTCATCGCAAATGGCCAATATCTGGTTGGGATGGCCGACTGCTTCATCAGAGCCCTCATCCGCGTGGCGAGGCTCCTGTTTGTCCGTTCTGCTACACCTTGCTGCTGGTGGGCGTAGGGCAGAGACACCAGGTGCTCGATCCCCTTCTGCTTGAAGAGCTCTTTGAACTCGTCCGAGAAGAACTCCAGGGCTCCGTCTGTCTGCCAGGCCTTTAGCTTTAGCCCAGACTGTCGCTCAGCCCGCTTCATCCACGCAATGAAGCATTCAAAGGCCAGTGATCTGCAGTCGGTATTGATGGCCCAGACGTAGCGCGTAGAAGCGTCGATGAAGGTGAGCGTGTATTGCTCCCCTTCAAGCCCTTGTTGACTGAGTACCATGAAGTCGCTGTAGACCTTATCCAGCGGTTTGTAGCGCTCGTACCCTGGTGGTAAGTCTGGGAATGGTTGGTGGTTGAGGGATGCAGTCGGGCAGACGATGCACGGCGGATTGGGAGAGTCCGCGGTGAGGGAACCGTCTCGGGGGAGGAGAAGTGCATCGTCATCGAAGACTCCAGCCTTGAGCGAGTTTTTGAGCGTGGCGTGAGAGGGATGTCCAAGCCGTTGGTGCCATGTTGCTGGGTCCGCACGGTAGCCGACTGTCTTCTGATAATATTTTTGCCGTGCTGCCTCGTCGTTTGCCTCCC